AATTCAGTGAAAATATCCGAGAGTATATACATAAATGTTTATAATGACAACAAATTGCACGTCAATGTCATTTTGCAGCCGACGCTTCATTATATTTATTTTTGTTTTCGAATTATTTACACATAGTTATTGCAACACTGCAGTTATCTGTTTATTATGCAGCAAATGTCTGTTAGTAAATAGTAAATGTTTATTATCATGTAGTAAATTCCATTGGTAGCTCACCAACAATTACTAAATGATTTCTATCAAATGTACGGATGGATTTTTCAGCCATTGGCCATAAATCTTCGCCAGTTATTCTTGAAGCCCTGCTCTGCTCCAATGACTTGGATAATTAATGCAGGAATGTATTTCTAAACGAACAGTATAAATTCATGTACAACCGTGACGAAGTACGGTACATGAACCCATTTGTAAATAATCTCGCCATCGTCTTACCAGTATACCTGGGCACGATTACTCGGCAAACACCGTCCATAAACAATGTAAAATTCAATGAGAAAAATTTCACAGAATTTTATTCTCGAACAAAAATTTTCTGGTGAACTTTTGTTTCTTGAGAACTAATCTAAAGAGCTGACAGGTGCATGGTATTTAGCAGATCTCAGCTGGTCGGTCAGCTGTCGCGCCTCACTCTGTCGGGGCTGAGAGGCGACAGCGGCAGCACTCTGTGCGTAGTTACGAAGCGTATAAATTGAAGCGACAACTCAAAGTTTAAATAAGAATTAACCAATGTAATACAACTTTAGCTTCTCAATTGTAGCATTTAGAAGCTATTTCATAGTGTTTAATAAAAACATTCTTATTGGCTGAGCCCGGTTCTCTAGAAGCGAAAAGTTCTTTACACATACCTGCAAATGGTGATTATTATTTTTAAAGCAATTTGAATTTGATGTGTATTTTACTAATGAATGCAATATATAAATAACAATTAACATTGTATAATACTTGTAATTTGATTCTATTGCAATTTCACTGATGTGTACTTGAAAAGGTTAGTATATCAAATCGCAAAGATTAGAAATTTGAAAAACGAGTTAAGCTCAAAAATTGCACCGTAATTTAAATTTTTTTAGATCGTGTACTATATGTTCAGTAATTTGTCGCTTAATTATAGGGCAACATGGGGCAGCGCCCCCCCCCCCCCCATTTTTAAACAAAATTTTTTATGAAGTTTTAATTGATTTGAGGTGGTTCTTTGTTTTGTTTAAAGGTACAACTAATGAGGAATGTATGTTGTGAATTAGACGCCTATAGAGTTATTCAATTTTTGATGAAACACCATTTTGTAAAAAGTGTAAAAATGGGCCCATTGCCCCACCCCTAGGGCAAAAGGCCCATGGGCTTGGGGCAAGGCGCCCACCCTTGGTCCCTTTACCGCAATTGCATAATTTTCGTTTAAAAATTATAAAACAACACTTTACAGTTAAAAATAAGAAAAAATGTATTAAAAAATATGACATTCATTCATTTATTAACAATTCAAAAAATCATATCCTTAACATGAAAAAATATACCCTTGGCTTAAAAAAATCTATCACTGACGTGAAGAAAAATATTTCATTGACATAAAAATATATATCCTTGACTTGAAGAATATATCCTTGCGATAAAAAACTCGTCCTGACATGAAAAAATGTATTCATGACTAGAAAAAATATATTTAGTTAATCAGCAAAAAAAAACTTCGTTCCAGTTTTGCCCATAATCCAGATAATATGTGCAGATAATTCGTACCTAATCGTGATTTCAGCCAACACCATAAATACTCATCAACTTTCGGCTCATTGGTGTTGACTGAAATCTACTTTTGGCAAGGCAAGAGTCAATAACTCGATAAGGGGTCATAAATACGCATAACTAAAACTAAACCTGCTGCCTTGAGGCGGCAAATCGAAAAATTATGCAATATGAAGTGTGATTGGTAATTCAAAAGCTAGTCATAGTTTTGAAAAGGTCATTGAGACAAATCTAATGATGTATAACACAAGACTTCCCCATGGGCGCTTTGGTCCGTGACACGCGTGGGCCCGTTGCCCCCACTAGGTATCCTTTCAATTTATATCGTGTCAACATTTTATTTTAAAAGCGAATAGTCTAAACTTGATCTCAAAATTATCCCTATAGATATTACTTTCAAATATAATTCACAGTAATTTCAAAAGCTTCATCTACAGTAATCAATAACAGTTTTATTAGCAGCAAACAAAACCTTTATCTAGGCTGAAATAGTTATCCACAAATATCTTAATAACGCAAACACTTAGCAAAACGTAAATCCGTACACTTCTCCCCAGTGAAACTGTCGACCGGCGGTAGAAAACACGGACCAATATCTGCAATACTTAGCGAGAAACCCGCTATGGGCCAATGACCCGCAGTGGGCTCGCTGCCCCATGTTACCCTACATGATTTCAATATTATGTAAATAATGATGTCCGCTTCTTCGACACCGCTTTTTTCCTTTGATCCGCAGATAATGCACATGCACCCCTTGTTTTGTCATCCCCTCTGCTGATCTCTTGTTTTGTTATCCCCTCTGCTGATCTCTTGTTTTGTTCTCCCCTCTGTTAATCTCTTGTTTTGTCATCCCCTCTGCTGATCTCTTGTTTTGTTATCCCCTCTGCTGATCTCTTGTTTTGTTCTCCCCTCTGTTAATCTCTTGTTTTGTCATCCCCTCTGCTGATCTCTTGTTTTGTTATCCCCTCTGCTGATCCCTTGTTTTGTCATCCCCTCTGCTGATCTCTTGTTTTGTTATCCCCTCTGCTGATCTTTTGTTTTGTTATCTCCTCTGCTGATCTCTTGTTTTGTTATCCCCTCTGTTGATCCCTTGTTTTGTCATCCCCTCTGCTGACCTCTTGTTCTGTCATCCCCTCTGCTGATCTCTTGTTTTATCATCCCCTCTTCTGATCTCTTGTTCTGTCATCTCCTCTGCATGCTGATCTCTTGTCTTGTCATCCACTCTGCTTATGTACCCTTTTTGAAACGTTTTCAACGAAATTATGGTAAATCTTCCTGCCGTTTTCTTAGTTATTAAACTCTCATGCAGAAGTGCTGGATGCATCCAAGTAAGATCATGTACTGGAATGTTATGTGTATAAGCATCGGCTGCCATGAGGCTGTCAAGTTTCTGAAAGTCTCACTCCAATCACCTGGCGCGTTCCCTTTGCTCGCTTACACACCAAACGCTTCCCACCAAACAAACAAAAAAAAAAAGCCCACCAGTCTGTAATTTTCTAAGTTGCGCAATGTATAAATTGAAGTGACATGAAACCAGTCAAAATGCCTATCAAGTTTGACTGGGTTCTAATTAGCTACAAGCTTCATTTGTCTTCTAATGTTTGTTTACTCCCGAGTCCTGATAGCAATGGACTCAGTTCTGTCCATCAAACATTCGTGGCATTCCCAAGTTGGAGCCACCGATTATCTGGCGCCATTACTGGCGCCGTCGGGACCTGGTAACTAACTTATGGTAAGATATGCATATGTGTGAGACATTGTCCAAATAGCGATACACTTTTTTACACTTGTGTGGGTCATCTTGACGTAAATTGCTTCGGCGAAAGGACGTTGCCGAGGCTGCTAAACGTATCCACAAGCTGCTACGTCTGCTCTTAACTCGTGCTGGGGTTGAGAATGTGTCACAATTTAGACAATATTACCCATGCATGTTTGAGAGTGCGTATACTCTTCCCTGTCATGGCACGTGCCGCCTTCATCATTGTTTTCTTCCCACGCTTGTGCGCGTCACCATTCATATGGCGGTTCCCACGCAATAAAAACATGTTTACCTTCAGAAGTATAAAGGTCAAATGACCAGTTAGATGCGGCCAGGGTTCGAAGGTGGTAGATTTAGATTACTTTGTTATCGTTTATTTATTGTGCACAAATAGTTTAAAAGTGCATAGTTTACGGACGTAAAAATAGACGCATTAAATAATATATAGATTGTTTCTTAATATATAAGGTGTTATCCGGTTAGGAAAAACTTAATTTAGACGCCTATTGAGGTACCAATAATGTTCAATTATCATAGTGAAATAGATCTAATAGTTTTATTCATAGTAAAACTGCATCTCGCAAACAAACGTCGCAAATTTTCGGGATGGCGAAAGCGTCATTTGGTTCTTAAAAATTAGAAGTTATCAGCTCAAAAGAAAGTTCAGATTCAGTCCTAAGAAAGATCCGGTCTAATGACACGATTTTAGATCTTCTGTGAACAAGGCACGAAAAGGAAAAGAATCGGCGACAGGCCACATCAGGCCTACACTGCAGCGCCGACATCACTACGTTATGTTATGTTATGTTATGTTATGTTATGTTATGTTATGTTATGTTGTGTTATGTTATGTTATGTTATGTTATGTTATGTTATGTTATGTTATGTTATGTTATGTTGTTATGTTATGTTATGTTGTTATGTTATGTTATGTTATGTTATGTTGTTATGTTATGTTGTTATGTTATGTTATGTTAAATGTTGTATCAAATATTAGTCACATAATTCATCAATAAATCGTTAATAACGGTGAAGTATTTTATTAAAGAATATTAGTAGCGCATTTCGTTAATAAATTGAAATTAGATATTTTGTTGATAATTAGTTAATATCAGTAACGTTTTGCTTTAATAGAAATAGTTTGGGAAATAGGCAGGTATTTATGGACGTGATGTGTATGGCAAGGATGGCTAGCTAGTTCAATAGTTAAGACATCAGAGTCTAGACACCGGAGTCTATTAGACTTGGTGTGACATATAATTTACTTACACTCAGAAATATAAGGAGATATTGTCCAAATAGAGATGCTCTTTTTGTCTTCGTATGGGTCATTTTAACTCAGTTAGACCTAGGCACATAAGTGCTACGTCCGCTCTTTGCTCGTGTTGAGCTAAGATTGAATGTCATTATTTGGACAATATGAGCCATTAATTTATCTGAGTGCGGCTTTTCAACGAATGTTCTGAACCAATTCCCCTTTATATGCAGGAGTTCGACGATTAAGCTAACACGGAAATAACTATTGCTGCTATCAGATTATTCATCATTATTTATTACTTTCAAATTGTGCATTTTTAACAACTAATAGCAAGTACAAAACGCAAGCTGTCACGATGGTCAACATTACAACACTTCAGACGCTTATACTCGTCCTGGCGACTTCAGTTGCTGGTAAGATATTCCCCGATGAATGAAATGAATGCCGCAATAGTATACATGATTCATTCACCAGGATGACTTATGCATGATCTAATTAAACTTTAAAAACAAATTTCTCATCATTAAAAGAGCAATGAGTTCCCGTTCAAAACTCTGCATGGTATCTAACTCAATATTACTCTCGGTATCTTGTCGAATAAAAAATTAATCTTTTTCAAGAATTTATTTCATTTTTTGTTGATAGTTTGTACTCAGTGTAAGAGATGGAGATCATTTGAACAAACATTAATTAAAATAATATCAGAGTCATTGGCAATACTTCCCATCGTACATTTATAATAAACTTCTCAATCACGCTTCGTATGAGAAAAAAAGTATTTCTTAATCGGTAAAAACATAATTATTTCCGTAAATTTCACATCTTTTAAGGTCTACCGGCGCCTGATGAAGCTACACAAGAAATTATAAAAACTCAAGCCACACGAGGCGCCCGATACGAGAAGAGTTTCGAACCCTCAAAACACAGCGATGAATCTCACCCAAGCCAAGAATTGAACCTCGCTCAACCTGAATTTTATGAACACGTTTATGAATCCCGCGAATCAGGGCTACAAAATATGGACACGTTGAATAAAATGGAACCTGATGTCGACGCATCAGACATTGCAATGGTCCCTAACATTGCAATGGTCCCTAACATCTCAATGGTCCCTAAGATTGTCGGTGGTAACCAAACAGATCCTGGAGAGTTTCCGTACCAGGTAAGTCCAAAGCAAGAACAGTCACGCACCTAATCTAAATATCTAAATGTTCCTTATACACATAACATCGCCATTAAATCTATTACTTAACAGTACTATGATAATATTTTAAATGCTCAGCATCGTTTAGAAATGCGCCAAGAATCATGTTTTGTCAGAGGCCGCTATGCATGGGTGCTGAATTTGTCTCTACTCGATGATTTATACATGACTTCAGATGCCGTCTTAGGTCGAGATATGCAATTTCTTTTATCAGAGGATAATGCTGTCTGAATCAAGGTCCGGGAATACCGCTCCCGTTATGAAAGTCCAGGAAAACCGGTCCCGTTATCAAAGTCCGGGAATACCGCTCCCGTTATCAATGTCCGGGAATACCGCTCCCGTTATTAAAGTCCGGGAATACCGCTACCGTTATCAAAGTCCGGGAATACCGCTCCCGTTATCAAAGTCCGGGAATACCGCTCCCGTTATCGAAGTCCGGGAATACCGCTCCCGTTATCAAAGTCTGAGAATCTCGCTACCACAATTCCGATATCCCGTCTCTTGTTATCAAATCCCGATAACTCGGTCGCTTCCCGGTAATATCCCGAGCTGTGAGACGTTTGGGAGCGCGCTTCTTATAATATTCGCAGTTCTATGCTTCAAAAACATCCACAAACACGTAAATTTTCCAACGCATAATAACATGAATGCAAATAAGTAATAACTGAAATTTCTCGCTGAAGGTGAGCATCCAAGTGATGGATTTGTTCGGGAGCAGCCACATCTGCGGCGGTGCCATCCTGAACGCGCAGTACGTCGTCACCGCCGCGCAGTGCGTCTCCAGGTACGTCGATTTATCCGCTGGTACGACGAATAACAGTCCACTGGTACGTCGTTCTGTCCACTGGTACGTCGTTTTGTCTACTGGCACGTCCTTCTGTCTACTGGTACGTCGTTCTTTCCGCTGGTACGTCGTTCTAGATGCTGATACTTAGTTCTATCCACTGATACATCGTCCTGTCCATTGCTCACTGGTGTCCCTCCCGTGACTATAATTTCACCGTCCCGTGATTATTATTTCACCCTCCCGTGAATATAATTTCACCCTCCCGTGATTATAATTTCACCCTCCCGTGACTATAATTTCACCCTCCCGTGACTATAATTTCGCCGTTCCATGATTATTATTTCACCCTTCCGTTATTAAAATTTCACCCTCCCATGTTCATAATTTCACCGTCCCGTGATTATAATTTATCACTCTTGTTGCAGCCAAACAGAGAGCAGCCTGCAGGTGGTGGCCGGCGTCTGGGCGCTCTCCCAGACGTCTATTTGGCAGCAGGTGCGCAACGTCAGGTCCATCACCGTGCACCCTGAGTACGTCGTCGACACGCCGCAGATGAACGACATCGCTCTCCTCAGGGTGCGTTCAACGACGTCTATAACTTTACCGCGACGTTTATAACTTCACCGTGACGTTTATAACTTCACCGTGACGTTTATAACTTCACCGTGACGTTTATAACTTCACCGCGACGTTTATAACTTCACCGCGACGTTTATAACTTCACCCTGACGTTTATACCTTCACAGTGACGTTTATATCTTCACTGTGACGTTTATAACTTCACCGTGACGTTTATAACTCCACCGCGACGTTTATAACTTCACCGCGACGTTTGTAACTTCACCGCGACGTTCATAACTTCACCCTGACGTTTATAACTTCACAGTGACGTTTATAACTTCTCTGTGACGTTTATAACTTCACCGTGACGTTTATAACTTCACTGTGACGTTTATAACTTCACCGTGGCGTTTAGAACTTCACCGCGACGTTTATAACTTCACCGCGACGTTTATAACTTCACCGCGACGTTCATAACTTAACTGCGACGTTTATAACATCACTGCGACGTTTATAACTTCACCGCGACGTTTACAACTTCACCGCGATGTTCATAATATCACCGCGACCTTTATAACTTCGATGCACCGTTTATAACTTCACCGCGACATTTATAACTTCACCTGATGTTTATAACATCACCGCGACGTTTATAACTTCACCGCGCCGTTGATAACTTCACCGCGACGTTTACAACTTCACCGTGACGTTTATAATTTCACCGCGCCGTTTACAACTTCACCGCGCCGTTTATAACTTCACCGCGATGTTTAAAACTTCACCGCGACGTTTAGAACTTCGCTGCGACGTTTAGAATTTCACTGCGACATTTATAACTTCACCGCGATGTTTATAACTTCACCGCGTCGTTTATAACTTCACCGCGACGTTTATAACTTCACTGCGACGTTTATAACTTCACCGCGACGCTTATAATTTCACCGTGACGTTTACAACTTCACCGTGACGTTTACAACTTCACCGCGACGCTTATAACTTCACCGCGATGTTTACAACTTCACCGTGACGTTTACAACTTCACCGTGACGTTTATAACTTCACCGTGACGTTTACAACTTCACCGTGACATTTATAACCTCACTGTGACGTTTATAGCTTCATCGTGACGTTTACAACTTCACCGTGACGTTTACAACTTCACCGTGACGTTTACAACTTCACCGCGACGTTTATAACTTCACCGCGCCGTTTATAACTTCACCGCGACGTTTACCACTTCATCGCGACGCTTATAACTTCACTGCGACGTTTATAACTTCACCGCGGCGTTTATAACTTCACCGCGACGTTAATAACCTTACTGTGACGTTTATAACTTCACCGCGACGTTTATAACTTCCCCCGCGACGTGTATAACTTCACCGCGACGTTTAGAACTTCACCGCGACGTTTAGACTTTCGATCACTGCGATGTGTAGAACTTCACTGCGACATTTATAACTTCACCGCGATGTTTATAACACTTCACCATGACGTTTATAACTTCACCGCGACGTTTAGAACTTCACCGCGACTCGGTGAAGTTACAAACGTCGCGATGAAGTGGTAAACGTCGCGGTGAAGTTATAAACGGCGCGGTGAAGTTATAAACGTCGCAGTGAAGTTATAAACGTTGCAGTAAAGTTATAAACGTCGCGGTGAAGTTATAAACGTCGCAGTGAAGTTATAAACGTCGCGGTGAAGTTATAAACTTCGCTGCGACGTTTATAACTTCACCGCGACGCTTGTAACTTCACCGCGACGTTTATAACTTCACTGCGACGTTAATAACTTCACCGTGACGTTTATAACTTTACTGCGACGTTTATAACTTCACCGCGACGTTTATAACTTAAACGCGACGTTTACAACTTCATCGCGACGTTTGTAACTTAACCGCGACGTTTATAACTTCACCGCAACGTTTACAACTTCATCGCGACGCTTATAACTTCACTGCGACGTTTATAACTTCACTGCGACGTTCATAACTTCACCTCGACGTTTATAATTTCACCGCGACGTTTATAACTTTACCGCAACATTTACAACTTCATCGCGACGCTTATAACTTCACTGCGACGTTTATAACTCCACTGCGACGTTTATAACTTCACCGCGACGTTCATAACTTCACCGCGACGTTTATAACTTCACTGCGACGTTCATAACTTCACCTCGACATTTATAATTTCACCGCGACGTTTATATAACTTCAACGCGCCGTTTATAACTTCACCGCGACGTTTCCAAAATCACCGCGACGTTTATAACCTCACTGTAACGTTTATAACTTCACCGCGACGTTTATAACTTCACCACGACGTTTAGAACTTCACCGCGCCGTTTATAACTTCACCGCGACGTTTACAACTTCACCGCGGCGTTTATAACTTCACCGCGACGTTTATAACTTTACCGCGACGTTTACAACTTCACCGTGACGTTTAAAACATCACTGCGACGTTTATAACTTAACAGCGACGCTTGTAACTTCACCGCGACGTTTATAACATCACCGCCACGTTTATAACTTCACCGCGACGTTTATAACTTCACCGTGACGTATAACTTCATGGAAGATGAAATATCAATCAAGAATGAAATTCCCTGTTGAAATTATCGAAAACTGATAAGATCCGAAAACTCAAACTTGTTTTCTTATAGTTTACCGCACAATAATTACGAATTCACTTATGGATTGTAAAGTAGATCAATACAAATTTCTCTTAGAAAGGAAAATGTAAAACAAAGTTGAACTTGGTAAAATTTTATTAAAATATAATAAATATTTTGTTTAATCTACACAAAGTTCCTCGAAATCCGCAATTACAAAAAAGTTTTGGTCAGATGGAGACGCCATTCATGCTTGACGAGCGGGTTGCCAGCATCCTCCTGACGCCGCAGGACGCCTTCGTGGGCGCCTCCTGCGTCACCTCAGGATGGGGGAGCACCGAGGAGAACGGCGACTACTCCGACGTCCTTCTGAAGGTGGGTCATGTCCTCATGAAGGTGAGTCATGTCCTTATGAAGGTGAGTCATGTCCTTATGAAGGCAAGTCATGTCCTCATGAAAGTGGGTCATGTCCTCATGAAGGCAGGTCATGTCCTCATGAAGGCAGGTCATGTCCTCATGAAGGTGGGTCATGTCCTCATGAAGGTGGGTCATGTTCTCATGAAGGCAGGTCATGTCCTCATGAAGATGGACATTAACATCATTTGAATTGTTTTGAATTGTTACACTCTCCACAGCTTTTACGTTGCCTTTCTTCACTAGAAAAAGTTCATTCTTATTCATATTTAAAAGTAACTTTCTTTCAGTTTTACCTGTTTTTCATGTATACTTATTTTATCAGTTATTATAAAAATGGTTCTTTGAGCAGGTCTCTATGACGGTGCTCGATGATAAGACCTGCGAGAACGCCTACGGTGTGCAAGACTTTGAGTGAGTCCATAGCTGAATAATGGCCTCAGTGCTCTAGAATGTGTAAAATACCTAATTTTTCAAAAACAGTAGTTTGATGAATATTAGGCGATTGAGACGTCTGCGGTTTTAGCAATATTAACTACGTGAATACACCTAGCTAGACATAAATATTAACTACGTCAATACATCTAGAGAGACATATATTAACTACGTGAATACATCTAGATTGGCATAAATATTAACTACGTGAATACATCTAGATGGTAAATATTAACTACGTGAATACATCTAGATGGACATAAACATTAACTACGTGGATACTTCTAGATAGACATAAATATTAACTACGTGTTCAAATACATCTAGATGGACATCTATATTAACTACGTGAATACATCTAGATTTTAGATAGACATAAATATTAACTACGTGAATACATATAGGTAGATATAAATATTAACTACGTGAATACATCTAGGTAGCCACAAACATTAACCAAGTCAATGCATATAGCTAGGCACAAATATTAACTACGTGATACATATTCTCGTTAATTAGTTGAACTGCCCAATTTTAGGAGAACTTCGATGATCTGCGCGGGGGCGGCGGCGGGGGGCGACTTCTGCCAGGGGGACGAAGGGGGACCTTTGGAATGTGGTTCTTACTTGACCGGCCTGGTCTCCTGGGGGATAGGGTGTGGTAGGGGCAACCCAGGGGTCTACACCAGCATCTACCACTACAACACCTGGATTATCAACACCATTGGGAACCAGTAGCCTGGTCTGTACACCAGCATCTACCACTACAACGCCTGGATTATCAACACCATTGGGAACCAGTAGCCTGGTCTGTACACCAGCATCTACCACTACAATGCCTGGATTATCAACACCATTGGGAACCAGTAGCCTGGTCTGTACACCAGCATCTACCACTACAACGCCTGGATTGCCGAGACCATAAACAGATTTAATCTTCCTACGGTGTTTAAAAGGAATTTATTATAATTAAGGTGTTCTTAATAGGAATTTATTATTGTTGAATGTTTGATAATGAATTTATTGTTATTAATTTGTTTGTTAACGAGAAATTTTTTATTATTAAGGTTTCGATTTAAATAATTTATTATTATTAGGGTTTATTATTATTAAAGAATTCCTTGTCATAAAGGTTCTAACGAGGAATTTAGGGAAGAGCTTAAATGTTCATCAATATGTTAAAAAAAAAGTTTAAATGTTTTAAAGAGCAGCAGCACATCAGGATTGTCTTCTATCCTCGATGTGTCGATTATTACAACGATGGATATTTCAAAATGTATTTAAATGCATATATGTGAAATGTTCCCGTATTTTTATGCACATTTCTCGCATTTATTTCGTGTGAATAAATTTATGGAATAAATTTGATCGTTGGAGATCTTGTGTCTAGCTTTATTTAAAGTAGCCGCGAAAGAAAAAAGTATTAAATTTAGCAAACTATTTTAGATATTTTTCTCAATGATCCAGGGTAATCGAGTGCATTAATATATTATTATTGCGAAACCTCTTAGTCTGGACTTTAATCCTAAATAAAACATTTCTATGCACTCTCCCTTTAATTCTCACTCACGTTTAAAAAACTTCATAATTAAACCAGAATCGCGTCGTCAAGTTCAAATCATTTCACAGGTGTGCTTAGGTTTAGAGAAATTACTATTATTGCTTACGTACAGAGATTATTCAACAATTTTCTAATTTATGTTAATTTTTGAGGCTTTACTTTTTTCGCTATATTTCCAAAGACAATAAATTTTAAATTACTACAGGAATTACTACTAACAACCAAATTTGGCATGAAATAAGGCAAATATTATTAATAATAATTTGGCAAATTATTAATAATAATATTAGTAATAATAATTAGGCATCTCAAATAATGGTGCTTGTTAAATATTTTTGGCTGCTCTCACAATCCCCGAGGTACAAAATAAAAAATCTATCAGTACATTATTTTGAAGCTGAGAAGTGCACTCCCCCGAAGTGAGCCATGCTTGGATGTAATATTTGTTAGCGGTTATTACATTGAATTCTAATGTTTGTTAATAAATAACGAGAGAACTACAGGCACGGCGTCTCCTGAGTAATTACGTACAAGCTCGTTAGATATGCTAAATTAATTGCGGATATAAAAACGAAAATCTTGCAGTGATTCATCATTTCGTGGTACTTACCGAATAAGAGTTTGCTCTGCTCTGCTCTGCTCTACTCTGCTCTACTCTGCTCTACTCTGCTCTATTCTGTTCTACTCTGCTCTACTCTATTCTGCTCTATTCCGCTCTATATTCTGCTCTACACCGCTCTATTCCGCTCTACTCTGATCTAATATGCTCTCCTCTGCTCTGTTCTATTCTGCTTTACTCCGCTCTATTCTGCTCTACTCTGCTCTAATTTGCTCTATTCTACTCTGCTTTACTCTGCTCGTCTCTGCTAACAAATCACATCCCTGATGTCTTTCGAAGCGAGATGTGACATTATGTGATATGATGTGATGTGACATTATATGATATGATGTGATGTGACATTATATTTTATGATGTCACATCACAATCCTGATGTCTTTAACTTCTTTATCAAGAAGTCAAGCCGGCAAATTCGATAAAATGAAGCGTGTAAAGTGAGTCGCAGTTATTTTCTTGTTCTTAACACTTGTTACTCCGCCATCTTTGGACTTCGATCGAGTGCTGTACATGTAGAGTACAGACGACACGAAAACCTGTTGACTTTGGGTAGCCTGGCGCCTAACATAAATCCTGTTCTCCGTGGCTGGTTCCTTCAAGGATGCAAGGAACCGCAACAGATGGGTCCCGGAGGCCACACCCCCTCTCAAGGCCGGGCGCAGGACGAGTGCTAACTGACGTGAGTGCCAAGCAGTTGTTGCTGGGTCTCCTGTTGCGTCAGTTGGACCGCTTCTACGAGGTCTAACTGAGCACAGAATTTCCTTTAAACCTGGGAAGTAAAGAAATTTAATTGTAAAAATATATAAAAAATACTTTGTTTAGAAGTTTTGTGTTCCACAGTTGTGACGCCAAGTCTCGGTGAAAAGAAACTAAATTGGTTTAAATTCGATAATCGTGAAACGGAATTTCAAATGCTTGAAATTTTCTTTTATTCCCATCCTTTTAATTCTAAGAGTGGCAGCATCAGTAGCATCAATAATAGTCACTTTACTGAAGATTTAAAAAATATCCGTAACCGAATCGCCCTCTAGCAACTGTTCACAGTGCAAGAAGTAAAACCCCATAACCATGCTAATGATATAGCCAAGCAATATATTACACGATAGTCAGACCAATAAATAAATATCATAGCGAACATTAGAAAGATCTTCGTCAAACTCGTAACATTACAGTACAATTCGAACAAAAATGCCTTTATTTTCTTATATTTATTTTTGACATTCATTCATTTTTAACATGAACATTTCTGCAATAATATCACGAAACTGAAGGTTTGCGGAAACGCTCTTGAAGAACGCAAGTATATTTACTATGTCTGCTTGAGCCACCCAAAAACGTGACACTCAATCAAATATACAAAAGATCACCCGACTTTCTGCAATTCCATATTCGTTCGTAAGAATTTAATTACGTTTTTTTATAAATCAAATCATTTTTACTTCGATTTAATTCTGAGATAAAGTGTGTTTTACAGGAATCTGTCCTCTCAGACGCCATGACAGCTCCGACGAATGGATGGTGAGGACGCTTGAGGTTGAATTGTTGCATATTTTTAGGTGCTGTCTAACATTGATGACAGATTTACTTAAAAATTTAAAGATGGCGACAATGGCATTGTAACTGAAGATTAGATAATAATTACTCTCATAATTAAAAATTTTTGCTTGCACAATAATAGTCCTATTCATGATATGCTCATTGTATGTGAACTTGCTGTTAGCGATCAGAGCTTGCATATCAGAGATGGAAGCAAATTAGCTTACCATTGTATAAAAAATCACTGCCCGTGGCATCCTTAACTGATGAAAAAAATTCCTGATGGTTCCAAATTATTCAGCAAAACCATGATTACACCAACTATAAACGCCGATGATATCAAAGAATAAGTTAGGTTTTTATGGCCGTAATGCTTCGAGTCTTTCTTAATAAAGGAGCGCAGTTATTGAATCGTGCTTTTGCCCTGTCATGGATATGATTTGCTTTATTATCGCTTTATTCGCTGCCAAGGAAGATTTGGCGAACATAACACTTTGTTGATGGGGGCAGGGTGGGGCCCAGCAAGCGGTGGGGCAAGGGGGAGTTCTGGGGTCTGTCCTCGGACTACGACCCTGACTGGGGTCTGAGCGAGCGCCAGAAGAGGCTCAGGGACGACCTCATTGAGGTCTGCAGGCTCAAGATCAGACCTCATGCGGTGAGTAACACTTAACGAGTAAAATCAGACCTCATGCGGTGAGTAACGCGCAGCGTGTCAAATCGAACCTAATGCGATGAGTAAAGCTCAAATGAACAAAATAATTTAGATCTCATTTAGTGGTCAAAAACACAATGAAATGAGCTCGACCAAACCAAATTGGTACACACGCATCGAGGGAAAGCAAGCCCCATTCGATGAATGTAACTAAGACTCTGTCTAAAATCAGGCAACAGATGAAGAAAAAGTCAACCCACACGACGAGAAAGCTCGCAGATGACGTGCGTATGACTCACTTGCAGCTAACCTGAACCTACTTAATGTTTTTCTCCGAGATTGTAAATGAGATCGTCCCTCAGGCCGACACAGACCAAACGTACAACAGTTCATATGAGATCGCACCTCAGGTCCACTGCAATCAGACATACGACAACGGTTCTCGTGTGATCGTCCCTAAGGCTCATTGCAACCAATCGTACATTAACAGTTCACCCGAGATCGTACCTCAGGCCGACTGCACCCAGACGTACGAAAATAGTTCACATAGCATCGTCCCTCAGGTCGAATGCGACCCGACGTACGACAACACTTCATATAAGAACGTCTCTCAGGTGCACTGCGACCAGACGTACGACAACACTTCATATAAGATCGTCTCTCATGTGCACTGCGACCAGATGTACGACAACAGTCAACATGAGATCGTACCTAAGGCGTACTGCGACCAGACGTACGACAACACTTCACATGATATCGTTCCTCAGGTTCACTACGACCAGACGTACGACAACAGACAACATGAGATCGTACCTCAGGTGCACTGCGACCAGACGTACGACAACATTTCACATGATTTCGTTCTTCAGGTTCACTGCGACTAGACGTACGACAACAGTTCACATGAGATCGTTCCTCAGGTTCACTGCGACCAGACGTACGACAACAGTTCACATGATATCGTTCCTCAGGTTCACTGCGACCAGACGTACGACAACAGTTCACATGAGATCGTTACTCAGGTTCACTGCGACCAGACGTACGACAATAATTCACACGATATCGTTCCTCAGGTGCACTGCGACCAGACGTACGACAACAGTCCACATGAGATCGTTCCTCAGGTTCACTGCGACCAGACGTACGACAACAAACAACAGNCGCAATAAGTAACTGAAAGCAAAGTTTAACTACGTAAAAAAGTTTTTCATAGCTACTTTGATGCGTGAAATAATTCGTCATACTTTATTCATCGTATCAATCCGCCTTACTCAAACCATGACGTTCAATACAACGAACTAAATTCATTATAATCAAACTATAACAGTCAACTGCTGTCTCTTATACACATCTAGATGTGTATAAGAGACAGGTCTACAGTAGATCTAGTGTTACGGCTGCCCTTCTACGGCCATGGTCTACAGTAGGTATAGTGTTACGCCTGCCCTTCTACGGCCACGGTCTACAGTAGGTCTAGTGTTGTGGCTGTCCTTCTACGGCCACGGTCTACAGTAAGTCTAGTGTTTTGGCTTCCCTTCTACGGCCACGGTCTACAGTAGGTCTAGTGTTACGGCTGCCCTTCTACGGCCATGGTCTACAGTAGGTCTAATGTTACGGCTGCTCTTCTACGGCCACGGTCTACAGTATGTCAAGTCTGACTCTTCCTTTCTCGGTTAATAAATTTTATTACTCACTCATTTACACTTACTTACTGAAGGTTCTTCTATGCAGCGATGCACTTGGCGGCGACGTCAGTTTTGCTGTTACGTCACCATGGCAACAAGCACATTACCGACCTTCTGCAGCGCCTTGACAAAGAGAGGCTTGTGGGTACCCTCTCGTACTCTGACCCCGCCACTGGTGAGGGCACAGTGAAAATTATTGAACCTTGAGTGTTTTCTTTCGTTGCTTTTCAGGTAGTCACTTTAAAAAACATTTCATAGAGTCACTTGTGATGGTATTTGTGGCGTCCTCTAGTGGTTGTATTTTAGATGGTTGCATTACATTCATTTTTTTTTCATTAATGGTTGCCTTACAGGCGGCCACTTCTGGTTTCCTTTGTCGTCGAAGTCCCGCTTCGTTGACGAGCACAGCATTAAACTCCTGAAGTACGGATCTTGGGCGACATCCGCTGGCTGTGCAGATTGGTATGCTATCCAGACCGTGTCTCCGGAGTTCAAGAGGAACTATGCGGATACAACGTGCTTCCTCATCTACAAGGTCCGATGAAGTGATACTATATTATATAGTATAGGGTGAACACTTATTGCAGTCATTGACGACTATGAATAAAGAGCGCACCATTGTCGATGATTACTTAAAATCCTATTAGTTGTTTCGACATTAAATACAGGATGAGACTAAACCAAATCGCTCAGCGCGTGAAGGAAGAAAAATTTGTTCGATTATGACCCGCACGAACCTATCAAGTGAGTTATTTTAATGTTTTGATGCGTAAAATTCCAAGTCACGAAAGGAATGCGGCCGAATCATTCTATGATCAAATTCCGACGAACCAAATTTAAAGTTTGCTGGTACTTTCGTCCGTTTTTACCCTGCATAATTTTGCTCTTAATCCCAGGACGAAATACGCGCCAACACCGACGACTGGCAGGCACTCGGCATGCACGGTAACCAGTCTGGACCGATGATCGTCGAGGGCACCTTCAGCACCGACCGCCTCATCGGACCATACGGAGACGGCATCAGGGTAACGTACTAATGATCCCCCAGTCATTTAATCATAATGCAATTTATATTTTAAATCAGTTTACTCCCACCGATCGATGGCGTCATAAAAATTAACCAACCAGGATTGATAATAATCCGTGTATTACATTTTGTGAAAATCTTGGGTTATCTTTCGGCATCAATGGTCAATGCCAATCTCTTTCTCCACCATACGCTGACAAATTATATAAAATAGTGTATCAAAATCTACACACCAAAAATTAATGTTTAGTGAACAATTCAGACAAAATAAATCAAATTCTAAAAAGATGCACATGAATTTTTTTTACAATTGAGGATATGCATTTTTAACAGAGCAACGACGAGTGCGTCGACCCCTTCTTCCTGCTGTGCTCCTCCGCGTGCTGGAGCGGCATCGCGCTCGCCTGCATCGACCTCACCAAGAAACACGTGACGCGCAAAGCCCACGCCGACATGGGCATGAGAGTTTGTGACTACCCCACCATACAGGTGGGTCTTGGGGGACTTGGGGGACTTGTGGGACTACCCCACCATACAGGTGGGTGTTGGGGGACTAGTGGGACTTGTGGGACTACCCCACCATACAGGTGGGTGTTGGGGACTAGTGGCACTCGTAGGGATAGTTGCTGGGACAAGCACCGGGACGTGGACCACTTGGCAAGGTAAGGGATAGTTCTCGGACAAGCACCGGAACTTGGACCACTTGCCCAGGGATCTGACCAAATATATCCTAAACAAAAATAATTATTGCTTGTAAAGGAAAACAATCGCTCAAGATTTCCACTAAATAACAAATCAGGCTTATGATTACCAATTAACGGTCAATTGAGATTTTCGCAGACATATAGGCTAAGACCAGCCAACAACCAGTCTTCGGCGAAGCAAATCCGCTTGCTTCTTCATGTAACTTACTACTATGAAGAATTATTGTCAGTTTCATGTTAATTCTTTGTTCCGTTCTACACAGAACTGCATTCCTTTCCTGGCTCCAGCAGCTGAGACTGCGCGCAGCGAGCAATGTTGAAGAGGTGTCCAAGATGATGCTGCATGCAGCAGGCGGTAGTGGATACAAGGTGAGATGCTTCATGCAGCAGGCGGTAGTGGGTACAAGGTGAGATGCTGCATGCAGCAGGTGGTAGTGGGTACAAGGTGAGATGCTGCATGCAGCAGGCGGTAGTGGATACAAGGTGAGATGCTGCATGCAGCAGGCGGTAGTGGGCATTTAGAAACATATCGGTTATATACTCAATTTTATATTATCATCCATACAACGAATTTCATGTCTGCAGCCTCGCAGAGTCTGTCCACTAACTGGTTATAAAGTTTCCTTATCAGTCATTTATCTGAGGAGTCCCGCAATCGAATTGCCTGTTGTGATTTTAGATCTTCACGATAATCACACATGCAGTTGATACATATTTGCTATTATTTTCCTCTATCTAATTTACAGCAGAACTACAATGCACTTCACTTTAAAGCTTCTCTTCACCGATCGGAGAATAAAAACCGACCTGAAAGATGAGGCTATAATATAACTTGAGTAATGAGGTCAGATTCAAATGATCTTGATATTCACAACTAAATGCATGAACATTTCAATGAACATTTCCATTTTTCGGCTCGCTAAAATTCAGGCAGCTCTCTGGCCAGGAAATATAGCTTGACATAGAACAGAAAACAATTTAGAGACAAAAACACAGGACCGTAGCTCTAAAAATCCTTTTCGAGCTCCACCTCTATTGATATTGAAGCATCTATTAACGATTGATATTTTTTAATGGCAGACTGATCTTGGCCTGGAACGCCTGCTGAGGGACGGCCTGGCAGGCTGGGTTATGGCGCCCAGTAACGAAGTTCTGCGCCAGGCGATCGGCAAGATGAGTCTACTCGGCCCAGACGCAGTCGATTACTTGTGCGGCTAATTAAACACTTTTTACAGTTAAATATGGTTGCAGTTGAACTATTATTAGTGGCAGATATACATCAGTGTAACGCGAATTTGTTAGAAAATATATATATATATTTATATTGTTTAATAACTCATATATAACGTCTTATTTTGAATGGAGCAATGAATGCACCGAGGTTGACAGGGGAGCGAAGATGATGTTTCTGGGATTCTTTTTAGGCCTAACTGGCCGAAGACCGATATTACGAAATAACTAAGGATATTACATGACGAACATTTGATGTTTTAATAACTATGGCTATTACGTTGCCACTCGTCGATAGTTTTTCCGTCGAAACAAGCAATTTTTCATCGATATAATACAACCCCCAAAATTTTACACCAGGGAACAAAAGGTGGACGAGCGCAAGATCCACCACGAGCTCGGCAAGATGAGCGTGACGCAGAAGAAGAAATTGGTGGAGCAGCTGAGCGCCGAGGTGGCGCTGGAGGAGAGCGGGACATGTCCCAACCATCCCCACCAGGACCAGGACTTTGAGAAATGTTTTACTCTCTTAAGGCACAAATGCTGGTCAGCCACAGATCCACCGTAACCAAATACTAACTAATTGAATTTATAATTATCTCCATTTCTGTGCATACTACATTTAATTATCTCCAATTATTCTTCTTGCAACTCCTCAAAGCATACCTGACCGAAATGAACTAGCCCCCCTCCCCCCCTCGGCGTCAGGTGACTTGGTCGAGTTCCGGGGTCCCTGTGGGGGCTTCGAGTACGTGCCCAGGAGCTTGGCAGTGCTGACCATCCTGGCCTCCGGTGGGGGCATCACCCCGGGCCTGCAACTCATCCGGTCCATCATGGAGGACGCGGAGGACACTACGCGGGTCAAACTCGTCTATTATTCGGACAACTACGACGAGATCCTCTACAGGGAAGAGCTTGATGGCTACGCCGGTGAGGGCAAGCGTTCGATGCTTCATAATGGCGAGAAACGGAGCCTGAAATTTATTTATAAAGTTCAAGGCATAATGAACTAATGCTAATACGTGTTTTACTTTATTCAACTCATGTATGTGTTCATTAATGAAAAACCACATTGTGTGTTGACATGTTAATACAGTCATGACGAGAAGGGCTTGGGCAAACATTTTATCTTTAGAAATGCTCAGCAAGAAATCTGTGAGTCGTGATATAAGGTATGAAGTTATTAAAGGAAGTAAATAAATTTAATTTAAACCATGAACTTATTTTTATCCATGTTATTGACACAAAAGTTTATGGTTTGTGTATTCCATCAGTCCGGGACGAGCGGCTGAGCATCGACCACACGCTGGGGGAGGTGCCGGAGAACTGGGAAGAGGGGGAGGGTTTCATCGACACCGCCCTGCTGAACGCCGCTGTGGACAGGACCGTTCCTTCACATAAACACAAGGTCATTCTAATTAACTCAACTAATTAGTGTTTCATAGTATCCTGGACTTAGAAAGCTCGTTGAAACTATCGGGGATTAGTTGTTGCGGGGTTTTTATATGATCTGCATTCAAAAGAAAGTCGTGAGCCCAACTGCACCACATGTCGATTTAACGATTTTTAAGGACGAATAAACTCTGCTAATCATGTGCGCAGAATTGTTTATTGTGCCTCCATAATACATGGCCCCACGTTATCATTGGCCCTTTCGGTCCCCAGATCGTGCTGTGCGGGGGCCCCACGATGGTCGTGTCGTGCCTTCACTCGCTGCGCTCACTGGGCGTCTCGTCGGACCAGATCTTCGTCTACGGCCAGTTTGGGGCCGAGCAGATGAGGCTCGTCTTTGGCCCCTTCGTCAAACTTGCCACGCACAGATCCGACCTCGTCCTCTAAACGTCCGACCTCATCTTCTGAATGTTGGACCTCGTCTTCTAAATGTTGGATCTTGCCTTCTGAATGTCGGGCCTCGCCCTCTGAATGTCCGACCTCGTCTTCTGAATGTTTAACCTCGTCTTCTGAATGTTTGACCTCGTCTTCTAAATGTTGGATCTCGCCCTCTGAACGTCGGACCTCGCTCTCTGAATTTCTGGCATCGCCCTCTGAATGCCGGACCTCGCCCTCTGAATGTCCGAGCTCGTCTTCTGAATGTCGGATCTTGCCCTATGAATGTCGGATCTTGCCCTATGAATGTCCGACCTCGTCCTCTGAACGTCGGTCCTCGCCTTTTGAATGTCGTATGTCAACCACTGAATTTCTGACCTCTTCTTCTGAATTTCGAACGTCAACATATGAATGTGCGACCTTGCTTTCTGAATGTCGGACCTCACTCTCTGAATTTCTGACCTCTCCTTCTGAATGTCGGACGTCGACCTCTGAATATGGGACCTCGCCCTCTGAAAGTCGGATATCGTCTGTGAATCTCTTACCTCATTCTCTGAATGTCCAGGTTTGTCTTTTGTATGTTATCAGGATTTACTTCGATGCACGGAGTGAAGAGTCCGGGAAAATAATCCACTGAATAAATCCTCTGAATAATCTACATTGAACCTCTAATGAATAGATATTATGTCATACTTTTGACATTTAAATTTAAATCGAATAAAGAATTCTGTAGGATGGCTATGAACATCGTCTTTATACTGGCCTACTATTTTCAATTGATTCTCTATGTTACCGGAAAGATCCTTTCCGTATAGACAGACCTCAATGTATCTACCTATAATATTCTCTGGCCATTAACTACACGTGTCTAAACAAGCTTATTTGCCATCGAAGACTAACTTTTATTAATATATAAAAAACATGACAGTATGTCAAACTGTTTTATTGTCCGTATTATCCTCCGAACAACTTCTAATAATAAATTCACGTCCTCTCTAAACGAAAGCATATCTTCTTCACCTTCTTCTTGCCCTCGATCTGAGTAAGGAGTAAAATTCCTCATATTTTTCTTTCGGTTTCGAGTCTGTGATGGAAGCTATGGCGAAATGCATATTTTCTTTATTATTTTAATGGAGGTTTGATGAGTGCACACAAGTTACGTGTTTTTAACGCACAATTTTCAAAACACAGCAATCATAAAATGCTTCCTGCCATAGAGATCAAAGTAAATCATATCTTACTAAATCAAATCTTATTATCTGATAAAATTGGACCAGTCTTTGACTGATGAGCTCTCAATAATGAATTTTAAAAAATGCTTTCACTTAATATTTAACTTTTTCGTATCGTAGTATGCCATGAATATTTTTATGAAGATAGATGAGTAGGTTCACTTAGAATTAGGAATAATATGGCAAAATAAAAACATGTATTTGCTGTGAACTTACGTACGGAAAGTTAACGACAAATTCCTATAAATCAAAAAGAGAAACTCAGTAAAACTTAAGCAAAATTTTCTTCTTTGGATGCGGGAAAAATAACAAAAAAATCAACACAAAAAACTTTATTCACCGACTAATTTCGCTAGTTTGCCTAAAGTTAACCAAGATTTTAAAAAGCTAATGAAATGCCAAATGAGTTCATTAAATCTTCATCGAAAACGTTTCGGAGAACAGATCCATCGGCTGCTCAAGAAATTTTTTAGCAGTGCGAGTACAATTAATAAGGGAAGATAAATTTACGCAAGAAAAAATAACGCGATGAAAATCAAAATCAAAACCTATCAATTAACAAATTCAAGCAAACAAAAACTGAAAGCGTTTTTAGAGTGAAGTTCCATTTTAAAATTTGCAACGCTTCAAAAATCCTTGAATACGATGAACGAGTAATGGAACTCAAAATATTGAAATCACTCTTCACCGCATGCGTATATGGACGTGGCAATGTTCATCGTGAATATCCACAGCAAAATAGGGCCGGTGAGTAAGTGGAAGTTTAGAACGAAAACTCCTGTTCAGCAGGATGTAACAATTGTTTAGATAGGTGAATCATCAGCAGGATCTGATGTAACAATTTCGCGATGTCATTCCGACGTGTTTCAGTCACGTTTTTAAACGAAAACTTTTTCTTTTTGGACCAAATTAGTTGCTCATATAATGCTCTTAAACTAATCGAAGCAAATTATTTAGAGGACGAGGTCGGACATTCAGAGGATCAGATTAACATTCAGAGGGCGAGGTCCGACATTCAGATGGCAAGATCTAACATTCAGAGGGCGAGATCAGAAATTCAGAGGTCGATATTCGACATTCAGAGGGAAAGGTCAGAAATTCAGAGAGGGGCATTCAGATGCAAGATCTAGCATTCAGAAGGCGAGGTTAGAAATTCAGAGGTCGACATTCGACATTCAGAGTGAGAGGTCAGAAATTCAGAGGGTGAGATCCAAAATTCAGATGGCAAGATCTGACATTCAGAGGGCGAGGTCAAAAATTCAGAGGTCGACGTCCGACATTCGGAGGGAGAGGTCAGAAATTCGGAGGGCGAGGACCGACATTCTGAAGACGAGGTCGGACATTCAGAAGATGAGGTCGGACATTCGGAAGACGAGGTCGGACATTCAGAGGACGAGGTCAGACATTCAGAAGACGAAGTCGGACATTCGGAAGACGAAGTTGGACATTCAGAGGACGAGATCCGACATTTAGAAGACGGGATCCGACATTAAGAAGACGGGGTCGGACATTTATAAAACGAAGTCCAACATTCAGAGGGCGAGATCCGACATTTAGAAGACGTGGTCGGACATTTATAAAACTAGGTCCGACATTCAGAGGACGAGATCCGACATTTAGAAGACGAGGTCCGACATTCAGAGGGCGAGATCCGACATTTAGAAGACGAGGTCCGACATTCAGAGGGCGAGATCCGACATTTAAATGAGTTGCAGGCCCGGGGTGATGCCCCCACCGGAGGCCAGGATGGTCAGCACTGCCAAGCTCCTGGGCACGTACTCGAAGCCCCCACAGGGACCCCGGAACTCGACCAAGTCCCCTGACGCCGAGGGGAGGGAGGGGGCGCTGGTTCATTTCGGTCAGGTGAGATTTGAGGAGTTGCAAGAAGAATAATTGGAGATAATTAAATGTAGTATGCACAGTAATGGAGATAATTATAAATTCAATTAGTTAGTATTTTGTTACGGCGGATCTGTGGCTGACCAGCATTTGTGCCTTAAGAGAGTAAAACATTTCTTAGATTGGATGAGTTATGCATCATGTCGTCTTGGGTGTGGCATGTCATCACAAGTGAGTCACATCATCACAAGTGAGTCACACCATTATAAGTGAGTCACACTGACTCACCAGGCTTGAGGCTAACGAAGAACTTGCTCATGATGCCACTCGTCTCGAAGCGCATGACGAGCTCCACGCGCCCCACGTGCTGGGGCGGCGACGTGGGGCTGAAGTAGCGCGTGTGGGGCTTGCCGTCCACCACCGCCTTGATCTGCTCGTGGGGAATAAAACTCTTCATATTGTGATCATCTGTCACTATTTGGCTCATAATCATTATTGTTATTAAGATCATCATAAATTATTTGTGCAAGTCACTTGCATATAGGATATTCTGGCATGTGTACATACGTAGATTTACGAGGAGTGACAGAGTTCAGTTATTCTTGGATGCCAGGAGCCGTGGCCGTGCTGGGCACGAATGGCCGAGTACGGCAGCTGCGAATGGTACGACGTACCTCCATGTAGTGTGCGACGTACCTCCTGATACTGGCCTGGTTATACGTGAGGTCGTGTAGTGCCACGGTACGACGTACCTCGATGAGTATACTGGTTGGTATACGTGAGGTTGTGTGGTGCCGTATTACAACGTATCTCCATCTAGTAGCCAAATTACGTGAAGCTGTTGAGTGTTGTGGTACTATGTAACTCCAGGTACTTGCCTGATATGAGTGAGGTTCCTGTGTACCTCCAGGTAATTAACTGTCGGGTGGCGTGGTACGACGTACCTCGAGGTACTGGCCGGGCAAGAGGCCCGTGAAGTCTGTGGGGTTGGGCAACTCGAAGACGAAGGCCGCCATCTTGTCGGTGACGTCAGAGCGACAAAGTCCTGGTCCTGGTGGGGATGGTTGGGACATGTCCCGCTCTCCTCCAGCGCCACCTCGGCGCTCAGCTGCTCCACCAATTTCTTCTTCTGCATCACGCTCATCTTGCCGAGCTCGTGGTGGATCTTGCGCTCGTTCGGCTTCCTCTCCCTGGCCAATAAGTGGGATTAATGAATGTAAATAAATTTAGCGATAAATCCATATGACTTCAAATTAGTTGCATTCATTGTGGGATTCGATTATCTAAAGGATATAACTGCTTATTGGGATGCCGAGTTACGTAAATTAGAATGATAATTAATCAATGTTAAATCGTTTCATTTGCAATGCAACGAATTTGATTGCGAAGAGAATGGCACGAGATATTCTTATCCATCCTCTTTATAAATTGTAAAATAAATTTTATCAAAACAAGAGATCGTGAATGCAGTTAAATCTTTAGCCAACTGACGCTGACCATAGAACGATGGCCGAATCAAACGTAATTAACTGGTGGAAGCAAGACAGTTGTCAATTCTGTTCTATGCCCATCAAATATAATGGCGCTTAAAATAATCAGCTATAATATAGAAAGATATTGCAAACTTATTTCAATTATCATAGTTTATAGTCAAATTATCCCTACAATATTCTTAAAAACAATGATGAGGAGGATTCGCTATACCAGTATTGAGTCAATGGTATATTGCGGACACTATTCTAGCATTAAACGGTCCTGTCCACAGCGGACATTATCTTCCAGTATTAAGGCGCTGGTATTGCGGATACTATACCAGAATGAAAGCACTGGTATTACGAATACTATACCAGTAGTCAATAGCTTCTAAGCCAAGGAGGCTGGAGTTGCCGATGTACTGCCGCAGGACTTCATTGGAAGGTCCCATGACCCAGCCCGCCTTGGCGTCGCGCAGGAGACGCTCCAGTCCCAGGTCGGTCTGGGACGGCGTTAGTCTTGATTTGAAGGCATGAAATGTGAAGTCTTAAATTGAACAGAACTGAAGGCATAAATTGAAATTGAAGTCTTGAATTCAACTGAGCTGAAGCCCTTAATTTTATTGAAGACCTAAATTGAACTGAACGCCTTGTACCCTCACCTTGTAGCCGCTGCCGCCACACGCATGCAGCATCGTGTCGGAAACTTCACCAACGTTGCGTGCGGCGCAGAACTTTAGCTGCCACAACCAGTGCAGAAGCTTCGATCTGCATGAGGAAAAATATCACTGTAGCCTTCATCTACTAGGTTAGCGGTTGCCGGTCTCCACCTCCCTAACTCCCAGCAACTATCCCCTACCTGGGCAAGTGGTCCACGTTCCGGTGCTTGTCCCAGCAACTATCCCCTACCTGGGCATGTGGTCCACGTCCCGGTACTTGTCCCAGCAACTATCCCCTACCTGGGCAAATGGTCCAAGTCCCGGTGCTTGTCCCAGCAACTATCCCCTACCTGGGCAAATGGTCCAAGTCCCAGTGCTTGTCCCAGCAACTATCCCCTACCTGGGCAAGTGGTCCAAGTCCCGGTGCTTGTCCCAGTTATTATTTTCAGTGGCGCTGTCCAGGGCCTGGGCGACCAGGAAGCACATGCTCCGCACAGCGTTGGTGCTGCTCACCACCTCCCCGAAGTAGTCCTGATCAACATCAGAATATTTTCAGATTAGTGTAAAAAAATTACTAACCCGTCATATAAATGTAGCTTAGGCTCGTTCGAGTAGCACGCCTGAATGTTATATGAATGAAATAGGAATTCTGGGTCATTAAAACATGACAACACAACGTTTGCGTTTACCAAGAGAAGTGTTTACCACGAGAGAGTTTGATACCTCTATATAGTGGCGTAGTCCCACGAGTGCCACTAGTCCCCAACACCCACCTGTATGGTGGGGTAGTCCCACAAGTCCCACTAGTCCCCCAACACCCACCTGTATGGTGGGGTAGTCCCACAAGTCCCCCAAGTCCCCCAAGACCCACCTGTATGGTGGGGTAGTCACAAACTCTCATGCCCATGTCGGCGTGGGCTTTGCGCGTCACGTGTTTCTTGGTGAGGTCGATGCAGGCGAGCGCGATGCCGCTCCAGCACGCCGAGGTGTTCAGCTGGAAGTTTGTCAATGATGCCTCGCTCGATAGCTGCGATAATTTTTATATCTTATATTTATACCTACCGAGTTAGTATAGTCATGTTCTTTAATTATTACCTAGAAATCCTAGTAATAATTATTAGAATAATAAAGCCTTTAAACTTTCCGAGTTGTATGATTAACATCGTGAAACAAAGGATTTCAAGGAAGTTAACCTTAGTTTAAATAGAAGATCAAGTATCAAATTAATTTAATGAAAGGAAATAGATTTAAATAATTGATTAAGGAACCTTCTGGCCTTCACCCTGCTGGCCGATGAGGCGGTCGGTGCTGAAGGTTCCCTCTACGATGAGAGGCCCCGAGTGGTTGCCGTGCATGCCGAGGGCTCGCCAGTCTTCGGTGTTGGACCGAACCTCGTCCTGAGTCACCATATTCAGAACCTCAGTTGTGATGTTCATTAGTATAGTATGTAATAAAATTGATGTATTATATAGATTATTGTACATTATTCTATTATGGTTCATATATATAATTTATTTATGTGTGGGGAATTCGCACTTAAAAATCTGGAGAAAATTTCTAAAACTCTCCTCCAATTCTGAATAAAATTTACAAGATTCTATGATGATGCTGACGAATGCTTATCAGAACGCCGTGTAAAGCAGGAAATTACATTTGAAAATATTTTTTGCGCATTTTCTCATTTATGGAAAAAAGGCGCTATTGTGCCCGTCATGTCCGTCCGTCTGTCCGTCCGTCCCTCCGTGACCACGTTTTCGTCGACGAGAAAATGCGCTCTCTGTCACTCACTGCAGTGAGTGTGATTTTTTTTTTATTTTGCATCCCACAATAAACTGCTTATTATAAATTATTATGCAATAAAAAATACATTGCATTGTACCTTATAGACGAGGAACAGCGAAGTATGACTGTAGTTCCTCCGGAAGTCAGGTGCGATCGTATGAATGACGTACCAGTCAGCGTAGCCCGCTGACGTCACCCAGGAGCCGTACTTCAAAATCTTGACGTGAATGTCGTCCACGTAGCGACACTTGGACGAAACACTCGACCAAAAGTGACCACCTGCAAAATATTTTAATTAGTATAAATATCATGAGATGAAATGGCTTTCAAAATAATCACATCATCACATCCACCTCAACTCGACTACAAAATTGTCAATCCTAAGCATTTGCCGTCAACCTACTGACGTTCTTCAGTATTAATAAAATTAGCATCAATAGAACCTACAATATTCTCGTTTATTTCCCTGAGTGCACGCCTGACCTGTAGCAGGGTCGGAGTACGACAAAGTCCCGACCAGCGCGTCGCTGTCAAGCCTCGTCAGCAGATCTGTGATGCGCTCGTTGTTGTGGTGTCGCATGAGCAGCAAAGCCACCGCAGTAAGGTGCATGACTGTGCATTAAAGAATTAACTCTTTATTTGATGTGTGTGGAGTAATTAATTGATTATATTACGTCTGATGATTAAAGTATTAAAATCATTAGGGATTTCTTAAAGGGGTTGTATGTAAATTCAGCTGGCATATTATTCTGAATCGGTAGAGGTACCAAGTAAAGATTAAATTTAACACAAGCATTGAAAAGGTAACGTGATGAATTTTTATTTGCTAATTACTATATAATTCAAAAAATGATGTGTCGGACATTATCTACTGTAGACCGTGGGCGTAGAAGGGTAGCCGTAACACTCGACCTACTGTAGACCATGGCCGTATAGAAGGGCAGCCGTAACACTAGACCTACTGTAGACCATGGCCGTAAAAGGGCAGCCGTAACATTAGACCTACTGTAGACCATGACCGTAGAAGGGCAGCCGTAACACTAGACCTACTGTAGACCATGGCCGTAGAAGGGCAGCCGTAACACTCGACCTACTGTAGACCATGGCCGTAGAAGGGCAGCCGTAACACTCGACCTACTGTAGACCATGGCCGTAGAAGGGCAGCCGTATCTTGCCAGGGTCTCGGTGATCATGGCAGCGCATTGGTGGGTCTCCCCCAGACCCCCCAACTTCTGGGGGACGATGAGCCCCAGCAGCCCCAGGGAGGCGAGGGCGTCCAGGCTCTCGCGGGGGAAGGTGTACGTCTGGTCGCAGTGAACCTGAGGAACGATCTCATATAACCTGTTGTCGTACGTCTGGTCGCAGTGAACCTGAGGAACGATCTCATATAAACTGTTGTCGTACATCTGGTCGCAGTGCACCTGTGGAACGATATCATGTGAACGGTTGTCGTACGTCTGGGTGCAGTGCACCTGAGGAACGATCTCATGTGAACTATTATCGTACGTCTGGTCGCAGTGAAAAATTGAGGGACGGTCTCATGTGAACTGTTTTCGTACGTCTGATCGCAGTGAACCTGGGGGAAGGTCACATGTGAACTGTTGTCGTACGTCTGGTCGCAGTGCACCTGAGGAACGAAATCATGTGAACTGTTGTAGTATGTCTGATCGCAGTGAATCTGAGGAACGATCTCATGTGAACTGACGTCGTACGTCTGGTTTAAGTAAGCCTGAGGGACGATGTCGTGTGAATTGTTGTACATCTGATCGCATTCCACCTGAGAGACGATCTCATATGAACTGTTGTATATCTGATCGCAGTGAGCTTGAGGATCGATCTCATGTGAACCGTTGTCATACGTCTGATATGATTTTATTCACTGCACGTTACTCACGCACGAGGTCTGATTTCACGCGTTACGTGTTACTCACCGCATGAGGTCTGATCTTGAGCCTGCAGACCTCAATGAGGTCGTCCCTGAGCCTCTTCTGGCGCTCGCTCAGACCCCAGTCGGGGTCGTAGTCCGAGGACAGACCCCAGAACTCCCCCTTGCCCCACCGCTTGCTAGGCCCCACCCTGCTGGGCCCATTCAATAGCCAGTTAAAATGTCAACATGTTAATCAACATCCAAAGCATACACAAATAATTTTATCCATCATTTTAAAGCATTCAACTACTGAAGTATTCTGATATATTCTAGATAAGGAAAGAGTTTCCGATCACGTCGCCCCGCAATAAGTAACTGAAAGCAAAGTTTAACTACGTAAAAAAGTTTTTCATAGCTACTTTGATGCGTGAAATAATTCGTCATACTTTATTCATCGTATCAATCCGCCTTACTCAAACCATGACGTTCAATACAACGAACTAAATTCATTATAATCAAACTATAACAGTCAACTGTTCATACTCACAAGCCTTCAGCAGTATTTGTCATCGGTATGGTGTACGTGGCTTCGAAGTTCCCTCAGAATCCTGTTTATTGAGAAGTTTACACACGTGATAAACTTTTCCCTAGAGCTGGACAGAATAAATATCGCCTTACTTTCATTTACAATTATCTTGTTATTATAAAAACTTCATCTTTCTCAACCTAGCGACGTGCGACCCGTGTTGTAAAATTCATTTGAAGGTAGTTTCTCCCATCCTATTTTGTGTCTGTATGTTATAATTGATGGATTAAAAGCATTCAGTAAAATTGTGTTCAGCGCACTTCCAGCTGCTATTCATTCCGATGGAATGCGTATTAATGAGAACGTCATTGTCCGTTTCTGGCATGAAACATTCTGAATGCACAAATTTGGTCTTCTCTGAAGCATTTAGTTTGTATTCCCAACGTGAAAACGTAACATATCAAAATCCCTCGCCTAAATGAAAGCTAGGAAAATTAATGTTATCACTTGAGCCAAGATTGTGATGAAAGTGCCAAGCCCCTACACTTGCACGAGCGACTGTCTGTACCTGACCATCAAATGTGACAGACTGCCTCTGTTTTCAGGCTCAGCCTTGAGCAACAAGAAGGAGCGTTGGTGCTAAACGAGTTTTTGGTCTTGTTCATGAGCTCTATTTTTATCACTCAGCAACAAAGCACTACAAATAAAAGGTCTCTTAATCGGAACCAATTATCTACGCAACTATAATAAATTACTTTCAAATTCTGGTTTATTGATTCTTGGCTTAGGATTGCCCTGGAAATTGCTTAGTTTGTCTTAGGATTACGACGGAAATTGCGGTTTTATCTCTAATTGCAGAGTATAGTGTAGCATAGTATATAAGCGGTGCACGCTAGGTGGAGCAAGGCCTGTTGTCAAGTCTGTAATGTTCTTGTTTATTATTACAACACTTCTCTTTAACTTCACTTCTTGTCTGTTTGTCTGCCTGCTACAAATCTTGTAATCGAAACTTAACACACTTCTACTTATCTTATCGATCTGAAATTTTGCACACTTGCGTAAAGTTGGAGACAATGCATGAATTAATTGACAAAATAAATAATTTTACGAATAAAAATTTTTTGTTTTCAACATTAAAAAACCTGAAAAAATAATTTTGTCAGATACAAATCTTATAATTGATATTTGACACACTTTTACCTGTCCAATTGATATGAAATTTTGCACACTTGTGTGAAGTTGGAGGCAATGCATGAATCAATTGACGGAATAAATAATTTTGAAAAAAATTTATGTAGGTATTAAAAAAATTAAAAATTATTTTTGTTTAATATTCGAAAATAAAATTACAAATTCATTGTACATCTGTAACATTGGAAACACTAGATTCTTTAGAAGTGTTGTCTTTAAAAAGTAATTCTTAAACGTAGGGCAACATGGGGCAGCGCGCTCCCCCCCCCCTCCTTTTTTAAACTAAATTTTTGATGAAGTTCTAATTGATACGAGGTGGTTCTTTGTTTTGTTTAAAGGTACAACTAATGAGGAATGTATGATGTGAATTAGACGCCTATATGTTTATTCAATTTTTAATGAAACACTATTTTGTAAAAAGTGTCAAAATGGGCCCATTGCCCCACCCCTGGGGTAACGGGCTCATGGGCTTGGGGCAAGGCGCCCACACTTGGTCCCTTTACCACAAATGCATATTTTTTGTTTAAAAATGAAAAAAACAACACTTTACAGTTAAAAATAAGAAAATGTAATAAAAAATATGACATTCACTCATTTATTAACAACTCAAAAAATCATATACTACTTAACTTGAAAAAAATATACTCTTGGCTTAAAAAATCTTGCACTGACGTGAAGAAAAATATTTCATTGACATACAAATATATATCCTTGACTTGAAAAATATATCTTTGCGATAAAAAATTCGTCCTAAACATGAAAAAATGTATCCATGACTAGAAAAAATATTTTTTAGTTGATCAGGAAAAAAACTTCGTTCCAGTTTCGTCCATAATCCAGATATTATGTGGAGAGAATTCGTACCTAATCGTGATTTCAGCCAACACCATGCATAAAAACTCATCAACTTTGGCTCATTGGTGTTGGCTGAAATCAATTTTTTGCACTCGATAAGGGGTCATAAATACGCATATTTAGAAACTAAACCTGCTGCCTTGAGGCGGCCAATAAAAAAATCATGCAATATGAAGTGTAATTTGTGATTCAAAAAGCTAATCATAGTTTGAAAAGGTCATAGAGACAAATCTAATGATGACATGACTTCACCATGGGCGCTTTGCCCCGTGACACGCGTGAGCCCGTTACCCCACTAGGTATCATTTCAACTTATATCGTGTCAACATTTTATTTTAAAAACTAATAGTCTAAACTTGATCTCAAAATTATCCCTATAAATATTACTTTGAAAATATAATTCACATTAATTTCAAAAGCTTCATCTACAGTAATCGAAAAATATTTTATTTAGCAGCAAAAAAATTTTTTCTGGACTAAAACAGTTATTCACAAATAACTTAATAACGCAACAACTTAGCAAAACGTAAATCCGTACTCTTCATCCCAGTGAAACTCTCGACTGGCGGTAGAGAACACGGGCCAATATCTGAAATACTTAGCGAGAAACCCGCTATGGGCCCATGACCCGCAGGGGGCTCGCTGCCCCATGTTACCCTATATTATTTTTATAAGAGGTTTATAAATTGTTTTTACCTAATCTAAAACATGTTGAGGGACTAGACAGCTACCGGACTTCTCAATAGTATAATAGGAGCTTCGGCTTTGAAGAATAGGCCTGGATAGGCCTGTCGCCGTCAATGGCTCAGACATTTTCCTGGCTAGAAGTCAGGGAGCCTAGAACGTTTCCTAAAATACTAAATATATATCAAAGAATTTTGGCTTTAGAAATGTTCGGTTTAGGCTTTGTTTGCAATTGACACGGCACAGCGGTGCAGAATTTTCGTAAAACCTAGAAAACCGAAAGAATCACTTAGCAGCTTTCGATTTAATTTCAGATTTATTTATAAACCTTTAAATAATATAAATAAAGTGATGTGTTGTTCTGGTAAAATGTGTGTTGTTCTGTGGTGCTCGATCTTCTTTAGCAGTAACAGATCTATGGAATAAAAATAACATGCGTTTAAAAATTACTTTTTAAAGACAACACTTCTAAAGAATCCAGTGTCTTGGATATTACACGTGTACAATGTACAATGAATTTCTAATGTTACTTTCAATATTAAAATACATTAATTTTCAAATTTTTTTAACATATAAAAATTTTGTAAATTTTCAAAAAATTGTATTCTGTCAATTGATTGATGCATAGTCTCTGACTTTACGCAAGTGTGCAAAATTTCAGATCGGTGGGACAGATAGAAGTGTGTTAAATATCGATCATAAGATTTGTTGCAGATAGACAAACAACAAACAACAAGAAGTGAAGTGAAAAAGAAATGTTGTAATAATTACCAGTTTTCAAGGCCGCTAGTTTTTTTTACGGAAAACTGTTCTGAAAGAATTGCTCGTACAGACGTATAACTTACGAATGAAGTTCGAATATGAAACTTTCTCCACTCTAAACATCACTGAAAGTCTGTAATATGTTTATATGAGGCGTTATGTTAATATTTGAGTAGTAGTTTGGGGAATGTTGCAGACTCTCCAAAACGGACACGAGACACGTTAAGATATATTATTTTTTATCCATACGAGCATGACAGAAAACATTTGAACGTAGTTTTCGATATTCATTTCTATGTCGGAAATGCATATGAATATTAACGTTTGTTAAATTTGTTGGTCAACGTTTCTCTCCACGTTCTCATAGATTTAGGTATAGATGATGATAAATTCAAGTCGTCTATTAAGGACACGTTTGTTTACAGTTGTCAGCTGGCCATACGGCACGAAACTTCTTCCTCATGTGAAACCAAGTCTCGTGAAATATTGAGCTTGTGCCTGTATACCCTTTTTTTCTTTTGTTTAATTAACAGAAATGAACAGAAACTTGAAGCTTCTTCTTTATGCCTCCGCCATTTTTATTCTATACTTCTACTATGGTATTTTGCAAGAAAGAATGTAAGTTTTCTGTCATTGTGTTGATTTATAATATAGTATTTGTAAACTTTTTAATATCTTTTCAGGTGAACAACAAATATTTTGTCAACATCACTCAAGCTTTTACATTATTCAAGTTTTTATACGCTCATAAAAATGATTTATCTTGACAAAAATTTAAATTCTCTAATAAAAACACTAATAATATTCACATTTTAAAAACCTTACTAAGGTCTAAGATTAATTGTCAAATAAATGGCATTCATTCACAGGATTGGAATTTCCCATGATTAGCACTAGATTGGAATTTTTCTACCCAATGCCAATGTGACAAATTTCTATTAATTTAGACTCCTGCAGACTATTGCAGAGTGCAGCCTGATACTGATTCAAAGTGATTGTGAACTTTTATCAATAATTAGATTGGAGCTATTAGGAGGTAATTTATTGGGAATGTAATTTGTAGATAGAAAGATATTTATGGCCTTTGTTTGCAGCCTTGAGTAATTTTTCTACAGGAAATTGAGAAAGATGGCAAATATTTGGTCAATGTTTTTCAAAAATCACCTATAAAACATTTTACTTGCAATTTCTAAAAATTGCAGTAAATTATGGCAGAATGTCTAAAATGTACTTAACTAAAAAGTATATTTTACCAAAAATTTTTTAATTAAATTTGTGACATGATTCACTTTGCTTAATCTAATTTAAAAATTAAAGTTAAAAAAAATGTTCTAAAAATCCAGCTTTATTATTGCAAATGAAATGCCAGATAGGAAGATGAGTCTAAATCACTGCACACTGCTGAATAAACCAAACTTGGAAAAAGGACCGACAAATTTGGAATATTATTCTGAATGTTAATTTGATTAGGTGAGATTAATTATATATCTTTTATCATTTCAGAACACGCACACAGTATGGGGAAAACAAAGAGAAATTCATCTACTCACTTGCACTGGTGTTCTTTCAGTGCATTGTTAATGCATTCTACGCCAAGATGAGTAAGTTCCCACATTGGGCGTGAAATAATGAATGCTCTATTATTAAGTGCTGCTAACTTTTGTATACTTATTGTGTATATTTAATTTGCAGCAATAACAACCTCTATATCAGTTGAATTAATGCATTTAACCCATTCTTGTAATAGATAATATTTTAAGTTGAATCTATTTATGAGTCAAGATGATGCTTTGAAATGGCTATGTAATTTAGATATTGTCCTGCTGCCAGAATTCCCTGTACTGGCTGTACATGATTGTGTTATTTTCTGATATTACTAGGTTATGTTTTTCAGCTGCAAACACTGCATTAAAATAAGACTGAAGTGAATATTATTTATATAATTGGGCAAAGTACTGATACCTCAACTTCATAATATTCTTTTTGCAGTGTTGCAGTTTGTCTTGCAGCAGGGAGAAGATACAACAAAGAGAAGCTACTATGCTACGTCTGCCCTCACCTACCTCCTGGCAATGGTGTCATCAAATATGGCTCTCCAGTGGGTGCCCTACCCCACGCAGGTACATAGTGTACAATTATCTAGCTCAATTTTCTATTATTTACAGCAACAAATTGTCTAAAATTTATTTTCTGAACTTGTAATGTGTTCTGAACATTCATTTAAATCCTTCATGAACAGTTCTCTGCTCGTAGTATGACAGCTTATGTGCTAATTTACTTTTTTGCTACTTACTACTACTTTCAAAATTATTTGTAGCATAATATTAAATATATGTTTTCGTTTGGTAAAATTTAATGCCACTTGTGTTGAAATACTGTTTTAAACAAAATGTGTTCTATGCTAGTCTTATTATTTAATCAAAATGTAATTTGTTTCATACAAAAAACTTCCTTCAAAACCTTCCAACAAATATTCCCATAATAGTTTCCTTTCTTCATTTTTCATCTGATGCCATTTCTATTGTATATTTGTGGCATTGCTGTTGTGTAATAATAATATGTAATGATGTAATAGTATTAATGATTTCTCCTCTAAAAAAAATGAATTTTTGGCAGGTGGTGGGGAAATCTTGCAAACCAATCCCTGTAATGATCATGGGTGTCATCATTGGGCGCAAAGTATACAGCCTCAAGAAATATCTTTTCATCGGCCTCATAGTAATGGGTAATCATGAAAAATGAGAAAAATGAAACGTGCAAGCTTATCTGGAATGGAACTTCTCTGCTGGAAAAATTTGCAGTTGAATTTTGTCCAAATTTGTCGATCTGTCTTTTGAAGAGACCTTTCATAATGTCAGACTACAGTATTGAAATTATTTGATTGTGTTCAATGATATTATATTCTTAATGACTTGGATTCTGTTGTAGATTTTGATGGCTAATTATGTACTGCTGTTGCCTTTTCTATCATTGTTGGACGATGTATAATAATGTATTAATAAATTTCCTGATGCTTTTAGGCGTGGTGCTGTTCATATACAAGGACCAGCAGGCGACCACTGCTGCTGCTGCTGAAGTTTCGGGTCCTGGTCTGGGAGAGCTGCTGCTGGTGAGTGTGTGGCTTAGAGATGAGATTTTCTTTGTCTTCTCATAAGTTTTCATACAAATGGGATTTAATTTACAGATGACATTTAATAACAGATGAGATTTAATTTACAGATGTGATTTAATTCCAGATGAGATTTGATTACAGATGATACTTAATTCCAGATGAAATTAAATTTGCTGTTCTAAATTTGGCTTAGAGATGAGATTTTTGTTGCTTGTCTTCTTCTCAGTTCTGACTTATGATATACCGGTATGTTTTGAATGAAGCTGTGTTGATGTTGCTTCTTAAAAATGTTCAAGTGTCTTTGTATTTTGCAGCTCCTGTCCCTCATAATGGACGGTCTGACGGGAGCTGTTCAGGAACGCATGATATCAGAGCACAAGACCAAGTCTGGCTACATGATGCTCAACATGAACGCCTGGTCTATTGGCTATGTTGCCTTTGGTATGTGGCAGCAGTAATCATGTATTGGTTACCTCGCCTTTAGTATTTACCAAAAGTTCTCATGCATTGGCTATCATTGCTATTGGTAACTTTTACCCAATGAAATTTTGGAAATGTTTAATTGAGTTTTATCTTATGGAGATAAACTCCACTTGAACAATTCGAATGAAAATTTAATCTTTTTTTATGCTAATTATTTATTATGAAATCTTCCATTTTTTGACGAAAAAAATTACATTTAATTTCCCATCATGTTCCACTTGAAAAGCAAAAAAATCGCCTTCATTGTTGCTTTGCTTTTTCTAATATCTATAATCATAAATATTTATATTTCTAAATAAAGTATCTAATTTACCCTATATATTATTTTTTTGAATATATACGCATATTAAACTGATATTTATAATCCCAAATTATCTACCTACCTATTCGTCCAAAATTTTCTTCGTTTTCAACTTGTAAATCAATTTTAATGCTGAAATAATACTTTACAGGGAAAAATTTAATAACAATGTTTTTTCTGCTTAATTTTTCAGCCTTGCTTGTGACTGGGGAAATTTTTGCATTTTGGGCGTTTGTTCAGCGCTTCCCGTTTGTGCTCTACAACATGCTTGTGTTCAGCGTCTGCAGCGCTCTGGGACAGGTAATATTATATCATCATTTATTCAGGAAAACAGTTGTTTTAACCTATATCTGATGTTGAGAAGAAAAAATTTTCGTTTAGTCACGGGATCCACCTACTATAGATTATAATATAAAATCTGTTGTTGACGTTTTGCCGTTCTTCATGTTTCATGGACTGTAAAATCAGTTGATGAATGATTGTTTCCATTTCTTCATGTTTCGTAGATTGTATATTATGGCGTTGATTACAAAATGAGTGATGGTTTGCAGTCTCTATATTCGCGTAGATTGTATAATATGTTGTTGATGTTAAGCAGTTCTTCACATTCCCGTATATTTGTACAAATTTAATGTTGATTGTTGACAGTTCTTCATATTCCTGATGGTGAGCGACTTCGGGCCCTTGCCTTGCAGCATCACGACCACGACACGCAAGTTCTTCACTGTACTCGGCAGCGTCCTGATCTTCGGTAACGCGCTCACCATACGCCAGTGGGTCGGCACTGCTGTCGTCTTTGCTGGTCAGTCGGGAGGAATTCTTGAGTTATGACTAAAATAATTCTATTTATACATATCATAATTTATATATATATCTATAGTATACATATTTATATGTATTATAATTCGCAACGCGCTCACCATGCCCCAAAGGGTCGGCACTGCTGTCGTCTGTGCTGGTCAGTCGGGTGGGATTCTTGATTTATGACTAATATAATTCTATTTATACATGTCATTATTGTATGTTTAGGGTAGAGCCCTTCATTTAGACATGTTTGGTTAAAAATGATGCCAGTTTTATTAAGAACTTCTTTTGAGTTGAAGTTCTCAAAAGAAGTTATTTATAAAACTGGCATCCTTTTTAACCAAACATATCATAATTGATATATATATTTTTTAATTTATGTGTATTATAATTTGCAAAGCGCTCACCATGCGCCAGAGGGTCCGCACTGCCGTGGTTTCCGCTGGTCAGTGTTGCGGGAGAGATGTGAATTATTGATTTATATTTAATGTTTTATGTACGTGATTGTTTTCAGATTTATATTTAGATTGTACACTTTTATTTAGGTAATGCATATTAATTTTGGACCATTGCGACATGACTATTGAATATTTTTATGAAGTTTTTTATTTAGATTTTATACAAAATCGAAAACGTATAAAATGTTGATTTTGTATGTGCAGGGCTGACGCTGGATGCAGTCTACGGCAAAGCCAGCCTCAAGACAGCCAAGCCTGTCGTCAAATGAGCCTCTCCTCTACTGAAGTAAAAGCCTTCTACGTTGAAATTATTTAAACCTTCAGGCGGAAAAGAAGAAATTGGCCCTAATAATGTTCTTGACATGCATAGACAAAAATTTGAGACTCAAGATGTCAAGAGACTCTCCTTTTTGACTATTAAAACTTAATTATTCATGAAGTGATCATAGCATTTCGTTGTTTTTACATGCAATATCGGCAAATAAATTATTGAAATTAACCCAATTATGAACGAACTTGCTGTCAGCTGTGGAGTTTAACAGGAAATTTCTTGAGCCCGTTGCTAGTCTTGCTCTCATTTTTAATGTTTTTTGTTCCATTGTATTTTCAACACATTTTCTAAGAACTTTGTTGTACTTGTTAATTTAATTTTTATTATTTATTTTTTGTTACAAGTTCTAGAGTTTTCCAGCCTTTGTAGTTCAAACATACCGAGGGCAAATTCGGTTTCCTTAACGCAATGTCATAGGAACTTCAAGTCGAGGGCAACACAAATTTAATTTAAAAATTTGCACAAAAACGCGTCAAAATTACACGTTAAATTATTTTAATGGCAGTCAACCGCCATTGAGATAATATATAAGAATAAATAAATAAAGTAATAAATGGTTGTTTCGTCTAAAATTAACTTGATCACTTTGCGATAGCAATCAAGATGCGGGATTCTAAACTTTTTACTTACCTGATGTAGCGCGGAGTATTCTAACCTCTTTCTAACCCAAAAATTCTCTTAATTTTCTTTGCATGAACTTGTTCTCTGTTATAAATACTCTATTGAGTCAGTTAACCAGTCTTGTGGGAATCTGTATCTAATAAAACACAATCAATACCACTTGAATCTGTATCTTGAATCTTCTCATTACTCTAATAATGATGAAGTTGTTTCGAAACTTGTATTTATTGTATCGCATTTGCGCCTCCGGAATAACTTTTTTACTATGGGTTAAACGTCTCGCGTAACGAAATTTATTTTGTGTCATGGATCTCAGGTTTGTAACCTTAATAGTAATTTTCTAATGCACAATAATGCTCTGTTACTGAGGTTGCGTGTCTTGAAACATTATTACTTGGTCAGGATTACCTGAACATGATTACTCGATTTATGCATTACCCAAACATAATGACTTGATGTTTTCATGTCGCCATGTCGTATTATCTTGCCTGCATGAGGTTCTATTATCTTCCAAACATTCCGCTAGTTTAACCCATCATATGGTGGTGCTGCTGCAACAACATGCAACCCCTGCAGCGTTGGTGCTGCTGCAACAACATGCAACCCCTGCAGCGTTGGTGCTGCTGCAACAACATAACCGTGATGACGTCACAGCGCCACCAAGTTAACCGTGATGACGTCACAGCGCCACCAAGTTAACCGTGATGACGTCACAGCGCCACCAAGTTAACATTCATTATTTGAGTTCCGTCGTCCGTTGCTGTGCGGATCAAAACCCGACTTCCCAATGAGGGTTTTTCTCTTCTACGCTGTTGAGTATAGAAGATAAAATCTATATTTCCAAAATTTCTCTAATCTATTTCGATACCTTACAAGACTTCGTTAGTCAATCGTCGATCGCAAACCACTCGAAAAATTCGCCCTAAGTAACATTATCTTATTTTAAAGTTTCCGTACAATGGTTTCGCTTATACTTAATTTTGTTCCCAAAATTTGAAGATACCGCACCTGCATTTTCAGGTGTACATTAACTTTCTTGAGACCTCGCACCGATTTCATAGGTAACTTTTATCTAATTAGATTCGCTGCGCACGTATGAGATTTACAATGCTGTTAGACTATTTAGGTATTTTGATAATTGTTTAAATAAACTACGAAGCACCTACTTTCATTACTGCCTTTACTCTAGAATCTAGATAATTACATTGTTCTTATGAAGGAAAGTATTGGTTCGTCGAGTTCAGGATATCAGATGCTTAAACGCATATTAATACTAGTACAAATACAACCTAAGTACCAGGCATGCTCCCTAATATTCTTATTAATGGTCGAGCTCCCTAATATTCAAATAGTTGGTCAGGCTTCAATATATTAATAATTACAGTTTAATTTCCCCGTCAGCCGACCAGTCACGAATAACCGTCAAACTAAACTTCTTTCCTGTCCCGTGATACATCGATTTGGAGGAAATGCACATAAAATCATAAAAAACGTAAGTTTGTAAGGTAAAACGTCAATAAATGAAAATTAAGATTTAACATTCATCATGGAATTTTGCATTGATGCAAAATTATAATTGATAAATAAACAGTAAATGAGTTCACATTGAAGTTTAATTGCGCAAGATATTTAGAACAGTCGTCGAAAAAGCGTGTAAACTTTGCGCTTTAATTGATTATAATAAAGTGAAGAACACCTGTTTGGTAATAAGTATTGAGTGCATCGAATCCTCTTCAACGTTACCGAGTCATGATCGCATAGCAAGTGACTGGATTTCATATCAATCTTTTAGAGGCGCATTTGAGCGACGCAATATCCATTAAACTTTTCATGAGGAGTCTTGAGACAATGAACGTCTGCTGAAGAGAATAAGAAAGCATCTCGACATGCTGCCTGCGGTCCATAAATCGACTTTAAACCTCCACTTCGGGGTTACGAAATATCTGGCCAGCTTACCAGGTTTAAAGTGCTTCAATAATCAACATGAACTTATTTTTGGTCAGGAATTTAAAGTGTTTACATAATTTAGATGAAAGTATTTTTGGTCAGGAATTTAAAGTGCTTCTAGAATCTACTTGAAGGTATTTTTGGTTAGGAATTTAAAGTGCTTCCATAATCAACTTGAACGTATTTTTGGTCAGGTATGTTGATCGCAGTTACATCAAATTTAAGTTAACCGTACGTTATATCGAGTCAGCTTAGAAGGTTGAAAATGCTTCAATAATCAACTTCCATGTAATTCTATAGTGAAGAATGCTAATCATAGTTCCAACGAAAACTCTTAAACTGTTCCCCTATTTTACTCTCGATATTAAGAAGGAAACTTCTGCGAGATTAAAAAATATCAAACGCATAATTTTTTGCTGGAAGGTGACGAATGTTCTGGTGGATTCTGATATGTATTTCAATAGAAGCTTGATTTTGTGTTGCAGACAGTGCTGATTGCTCAGGTTAACTTCATGATATAATAACGGTCTTATGTAAAGTTGTTGAAAATTTGCAGTGTCGAGCCATAATGTAGAGTTTTCCTTATTGCTTTATATACAATCAAAACCTGTGAGACTATTTTTCAGCATGCTGGGAGCGTGAAATTTAAACAAATATATATAACTCAGTACTCACTGCATGCAGTGAGTGACAGGGAGCGCATTTTCTCGCCGACGAAAACATGAAGTCACGGACGGACAGACAGACGGACATGGCGAGCACAATAGTGCATTTTTTCATAATGAGAAATGCGCTAAAAAGCACGATAAGAAATCGTCCTGTAATTAAGTGTTAAATAAATATTGCATCTTGCAAAACTTTCGTAATAAAGTTCTTTTCACAGAGTTCAGGAAACCCGCTCAGCATTACTTATAAATTGAATTGCCAACGCAATTAAAACGCAGTCAGATCCAGGCCAGGCGGGGCATTCACGCGGCCAAGAACTGTTGCAACTTGCGGCGAGCAGCGCGATTGTCGGGGAGCAGGCGAGGAAGGGGGCACAGGCGAGGAAGGGGGCACAGGCGAGGAAGGGGGCACAGGCGAGGAAGGGGGCACAGGCGAGGAAGGCTCGTCTGCAGCTGCAGACGAGAATGCAAGTGTGGGCGAACAGAATAGTGCAGAATGCTAGTGCAGGCGAGCGATCTAGAGTAGATGCTAGTGAATAATTCCAGTGAAGGCAAAAAATCATTCTTTAACATAAAATTACACGCGAATAATCGCATTTTTAAGTTGGCATCAGACTACGAGATGGTTTCACCTGACAGCCTGTGCAAAAAAGCCATCAGTTTGAGCAATAGTTCAATGCTTTTTTAGTGAATTGTTCAAACAAATTAATTTTAAAAAAGTTGTATATAACAAAATTTCAAAGCAGAGTAATTAAAATCCATTTCTTTCTTATTAGAATCAATTTCTTATTTATTACCATTCAATCTAACTGGTCAACACACGCTGCCGTGCCACGGAACGATTGTTGAAAACAAAATTCTACACTAATCTGTGCTCCTAGGACATATTTGCGAGTCCCATCATACATTTTGAGAATTTAGTTCTGTTATTTGCGGTATTATGGTTCGCATGCAATGCATTGGTGAAAATGTTAATGCGATCACCATACAGCGTATGTCAGTGGTTCCCAAACTTTTTCAGGCTGGCGCCCCCTTTGGCTCCCTAGTGAATTTCTAGCGCCCCCCACAGACACATATAAAAACATACGCCTCCTTCTTGAAATTTAGTACGCTGCAATTTTAAAAGATAAAGGTTAAACACAAATGTGTATTTCACAAATAGAACCCCATTTAGTGAACCAATATGTTTTTCAGCTGTTTTAACTTTTTCAGCACTATAGAAACCAATTAAGGACGTCGCGGGCGAATTTACGGCCGGACTTGTGGTCGGTCTCACGACCAATCTCCAATTCAATTATCAAGTAATATTTCGCAAACTAATGAACGCAGATCTATGAAACTTGGAACACGTATTCATCAAAACTTAATGGTGATGAATGGCTAGTAAATTTTTTTAGATTTCGCTTTCATTGGCGAGTTACGCGTATATTGCAAAACAGGCCGAAATTCGCATTGATAAAAGAATTTCTTCCAAAATATTGAACAGATTTGAACGAAATTTTGAATACACATTCCTAACTACCAAACGGTGATTTTTAAGCTGATAAAAATTTATTCGATTTTACCTTAATTTGCGATTTTTTTTCATTTCACCGTCATTCTTGATTTCACACTTCCTTATATTAGGCCCGTATCGCCGGGTAATTTATCACTTAAAGTCGCGGTGATAAAGAAATTTCTTCTAAAGTACAGAACAGATTTCAACGAAACTTTGTATATAAATACCTAACCTATCAACGGTGATGTTTAGCTCGTGACAATTTTTCTATTTTGCTTTCGTTCGCGAGTTATACAGATATAGGAGGAATGACCGGCTTTTCTTCCGGCCGGTTTAACCAAGAGCCTTATACGTATAGCCGGATAACTCGCAAACGAAGGCAAAACGAAAAAATGGTGACTATCACCGTTGCTGAGGTTAGGTATTTAAATAATAAGTTTCGTTCAAATCTGTTCAGTAGTCTGAAAAAAGTTTCTTGATTACTGCGAATTTAAGCACGTATTGGTGTTTGAATCACGAATGAAGGTGAAATGAAAAAAAAAAAAAACTCGCGAACGAAGGCGCAATCGAATTTTTTTTCGATTTTTCGATAAAATCGAAATTTACTGTTTGGTAGTTAGTACTGTAAATTCAAAATTTCGTTCGAATCTGTTCAGTAGTTTAGAAGAAATTACTTGATCATTGTGAATTTATGCCCATATTGCCATATAACTATGGCAAAAACAAACGATGGCAAAATTCAAACAATTTCCACGAGCAAAACATTATTGTAAGGTCCTAATGAATACGTGTACCAAGTTTCATCGAGTTAAGTTCATCAGTTTGAGAGATATTCCTTGATTATTGAATCTGGAAATTGGCCGTGAGACCGGCCGCGAGTCCGGCCGTTAATTTGTCCGAGACGTAAACCAGGAGAGGTTAAAAACAGATCTGGGTGAAAAAAACCATCGCGGGAGTCATGTGCTGCACGTGTTGTGTACAAATCGTCAAACAAGCGTTCGAACTTCTGACATTGACTTCGGACTACTGCCCCCCTATCGCCCCCCTAAAGCCCTCTTCTTCCATACCGCCCCCCAAAATCTTTACACCGCCCCTAGGGGGGCGATATCGCCCACTTTGGGAACCACTGGCGTATGTGGACGGATGGAAACATAGTAGATTCTACCAGAAGAACAATTATGAACCATCTCGTCTCAAGACATGCAATTTAACCTCACAAACATAATTGGATGGGACCCCGGTAATATTGGTGTCCTCAAAAAAGACTGGGAAGGCTTAAATTACCTGTTAACAAGGACGATGAATCTATTTGCAGTTTCCAGTATTTCTAAAAATGGTCCTAGACTTTCCGTGAATTCCGTCAGTCGCACACGAAACGTGGGAGAAGGTGGACGGTGGCTACGAGGTCTCGGCTCTGACAAGAGTCCTCGCTAACGGACGGCGTACATGGTTTATTTGAATCTTTTCAACAACCGGTAAATGTTACCATTTTATATTGAGTTGTTTTAATCACTAAAGTAATGTAGAGTTGTTATAGGGCACTTAACGCCCGTAAATGACTAATTAACAATTGTTAAAAACTTTGAGTTAAATATCTGCTACCGTATTACGGTACGGTGGTAGACACCGAATGTCTAATCTTTACTGATATTTAATTACACGCATGCTAGTCTAGCCAGTACCTTCTAACATTTGCAAATACTTATTAATTTCTTAATTATTCTCCCAATATCCAATAATTTTTGTGATGGCAAATTGACTTCATTTGCGCCAGCAAATTGCTATCGGAGTTCCACCAACATGTCGCCAGCCTTCAATATATATAATATATATTGTACACATAAGAAAATAGACATAACTGAGCCTCAACGGTATTATTGCAGATTAACTACATCCAAAAAAAGGGTGTTTTTTTTAATTATATGTTTTTTGGGGTGTAGATTACGAATCTGAAATCCATTTTTGGCGGTCGGCATCGGAAAACCGATTTTTTACGATTTTTGGGTCGGAAAAAAATCGGTTTTCCGATGCCGACCGCCAAAAATGGATTTCAGATTCGTAATCTACACCCCAAAAAACATATAATTCAAAAAAAAACACCCTTTTTTTTGGATGTAGTTAATCTGCAATAATACCGCCTCAACTTTACAGTGCGATTGTAAAAGCTTTTTAGTTATTATGTGATAATCTAACCCTAGAAATCGTAATTATCGAACCTTACAAACCGTAACTCTGACCAGTATTATGGGGTTTTTAGTTGAAAGGCTGAAAGCAGTCGCTGCTGGATGGTGACCAGCAAATGTATCCATCTTGCTGAAAAGAAACGATGGATATCTTTCCAGCGCAATCGAAACTGCTTCATAGTTATCTTGTGTTTTAGCCTTACAAATCGTAGTTATGACAAGCCTTATAAGGTTTTTTGTGACGAACGGCGAGGTATATAGTATGTACACAATGCACTTAAAACTGTGTGGCGACCGGCGACTTAAGTGTCATGAACGCTATAAGTCGTGGCAACAATTCGCTCACGTCAACGGGAAGCACTGTGATGGCCGCTGATCGCACGTGCTAACCTAATCCGTTTTGTCTAATTCCGAAGATATATTCTCCCACGAGCTGTGTTAATCCCCTGTAGCATCGCAGTACTAGGTTGGTCGTATTGACTTATCCTATTAGCATTGCAGCGAGCCAATACACTGTTCGCGTTTGACATACTCTATTTCTATCGAGTTGGTAAAGCGATCCGTGCGTCTTGGGGCTAGTAGCTGCAATTTTGTCACTTGCTCCAGCAAATTATATTTTTCTGGTCGTGAATATAATTTTTTGTGTAAGTATTAATAAACCCTACTACCCTGAAGACTTATGGAAATTAAATTAATATATTGAAAAATTTGATTCTTCTTCTTTTGCTGTAAACTGCCAGAGATTTCTATTCGCCTTTGATCAAGTAAGAATTTTGGATTCTTGTCTTTCATCTTCTTGAAACAGCAATTTTCCTCATTAAATAAAAGCTTCAAATAATTCTACGTGACCAGACTAGAAAAGTACATAGTTTCTTTAGGCTAAGCACAAGTTTGCTATTTGTTCTCCTTAAAATTCCAGCGTGGTTGGTGTTGGTCCAACGCACGACTCGCTTTAGTCTCGATGAACTGAGCGAGTGCGACTCTACTAAGCGTGTCTTGAGACTCCTGGCAGTCCTCCTAATCAGTGCATTAGAGGATTGTCTATTGGGGAATTCATTTGAAGCTTTAGGAATCCATTCCTTGATTAACGAGCTTTGCAGCTTCCGAAATGCTAATTGTCGTTAATCGTTCTGACGACCGTGTAATATGAGAGACCTGAAGCTACTTCACATTTGTCTGAATATTTCTGAGGTCAAGGAACAGTGATTCTGAGCATGCCAATTTTTACGAGTAGAACGACTCGTTACATAATCCCGATTCGATCAGCATTGAACTTAGTCACCATAAGACATGGGAATGACCTCTTCATTATTACAAATAGTTCAACGTAAAAAAGTCATTCTACCATCAATTTTCAAAGTTCCATAGGATATATTTTTTTTAGATTCACATCCTCTTCGCAACTTGCATTTCACGATGAGTGAAGTCGGAGTCTGCCGTTGCCAGTTCTTGGTGGATGTTGGGCGGCCGATGGTCGGCAGCGCGGTAGTTCACATTTGTTTTTGTTAGGTTGGACACAGAAAGCTTCACCTCATGCATGCCTCATTTTGCCGTGGCAACGCTAGGGAGGAAGGGAACGACTGCCGGGACATTGGATCACCTACAATAAATTATGCAGAACGAAGTGAAAAAATACGCCTGGGGATCACCTACAATAAATTATGCAGAACGAAGTGAAAAAATACGCCTGGTTACTTCGGTGGACTGAGGCGCCTCCATTTTTTTTTGGGCTCGAAACATAAGTTTTTTTACTTCTTTACTACGGTAAGCCGGATTTCAATGTCGAAAAAACCTAAAATAATACTCGTACACTAATCTCGTTTTTGGGATGTGCATTTAAAAATATTCTGAATCATAAAAGTTACGATCATTATATGCATTGTTTGTACCCAGGGTATTTCAGGTATTTGAATCGTTGAACATTCTTTTCAAAATGTCAACTTTTCACAGACGGCAAAATTATCTTCCATTCGACAACACGCGCGCGATTGTGGTAACACAATCATTTATGGTGCAAAGTGAACCAAATTCTCCGCTTCTTTTTTGTCGGTTCATTTTTCTAGGCACTACGATTTTCACCAAATTTTAAATGAAAGCGAGTATATCCTTCGTTTTTATATTATAAAATTTTAAACAAGCTTCTTATTTATTTTATAATTACGGATTCAATGTTTTTCCACATAGGCAATGATGCCTGGACCAACAATGTTGCCCCGCTTGCATCAAGATCTGAAATGAGCAGAAATAAACAATGCTAAGCTAAAGAGACTAAACTAAATCTGCATTAACTTGAGAGCTGCGAGCTGCGTTTAGAGGAGAGTGCAGTCTTAGTGTAGAGCTTAGCGCTGGCTAATTTAAAGGCTATGTGACAATCACTGAAGCTAACTATAATATGACACTAACCGATGTACGAGACTACGAGTATATAATTGAAGGGAACTATTGATATCGATAATGAATATTTCTTGATAAACAGTGTTATAAAGGTTAGTGATGACCCACGAGATCATCCACGCACCACTAACGGTGTGACGGATTTTAGCGTGACTTGTCATGGTCTTTAATAGCAGTCTGAGCTTTTTTCTTCAGCGCATATCAGACTCTGCGCCGGCTCGAAGTTTCTTTTGATTTTTTTGCGCATTTTTTTTGCAATTTTGGGCCGGGCAAGATTACGTTACAGATCACGACGGCTTGAAAAAAATCTTAAAGTTTGGATCATCTTAGTTCTTTGCGCTGGCAGACTCTACCTTGATCTTCTTTGAATGCAAACGTGCGTCTGTTGAAGTTAATTTAGGAAGTGAGTGCAATGCGTTCCCCTGGACGAATACAGAGTTGAGGTCTTGCATCTTCAATGGACGTTGTTTACAAATATTGAAGCAAAATTTACCTTCCCATGTTGCTGGCTTTTCTTCCTTGAAGACATTATGTTCACCAGGAATTTAAAAGCAAAGAAAACAGCCAGAATATTAACCACTTCTTAAGAATGAAAACGTTTCGGAGTCAAGCTCCATCGTCAGTTCAAAAGTTCAAAACCTATAAGAAAATAAGAATCAATTAGAAAACTAAATTCACATCGAAGATAAAAACATAAATTGACAAAACAAAAACAAATACACATAAGGAGACAGGCCTATCTATTTACAATTTCAAGGGGATAGGAGCTGAAGGCTGCATTTAAACCAGGTTTCTGTTTAAAAATGTACAGGGATTCTAAAATCCGTAGGTCAGTAACACCGGTCGTGTAAGCTAGAACTCTGAAATCACAATCAGACACNTTGCGGGCTCGCTGCATCCCATTACGGGCTCGCTGCATCCCATTACGGGCTCGCTGCATCCCATTACGGGCTCGCTGCATCCCATTACGGGCTCGCTGCATCCCATTACGGGCTCGCTGCATCCCATTACGGGCTCGCTGCATCCCATTACGGGCTCGCTGCATCCCATTACGGGCTCGCTGCATCCCATTACGGGCTCGCTGCATCCCATTACGGGCTCGCTGCATCCCATTACGGGCTCGCTGCATCCCATTACGGGCTCGCTGCATCCCATTACGGGCTCGCTGCATCCCATTACGGGCTCGCTGCATCCCATTACGGGCTCGCTGCATCCCATTACGGGCTCGCTGCATCCCATTACGGGCTCGCTGCATCCCATTACGGGCTCGCTGCATCCCATTACGGGCTCGCTGCATCCCATTACGGGCTCGCTGCATCCCATTACGGGCTCGCTGCATCCCATTACGGGCTCGCTGCATCCCATTACGGGCTCGCTGCATCCCATTACGGGCTCGCTGCATCCCATTACGGGCTCGCTGCATCCCATTACGGGCTCGCTGCATCCCATTACGGGCTCGCTGCATCCCATTACGGGCTCGCTGCATCCCATTACGGGCTCGCTGCATCCCATTACGGGCTCGCTGCATCCCATTACGGGCTCGCTGCATCCCATTACGGGCTCGCTGCATCCCATTACGGGCTCGCTGCATCCCATTACGGGCTCGCTGCATCCCATTACGGGCTCGCTGCATCCCATTACGGGCTCGCTGCATCCCATTACGGGCTCGCTGCATCCCATTACGGGCTCGCTGCATCCCATTACGGGCTCGCTGCATCCCATTACGGGCTCGCTGCATCCCATTACGGGCTCGCTGCATCCCATTACGGGCTCGCTGCATCCCATTACGGGCTCGCTGCATCCCATTACGGGCTCGCTGCATCCCATTACGGGCTCGCTGCATCCCATTACGGGCTCGCTGCATCCCATTACGGGCTCGCTGCATCCCATTACGGGCTCGCTGCATCCCATTGCGGGCTCGCTGCATCCCATTACGGGCTCGCTGCATCCCATTACGGGCTCGCTGCATCCCATTGCGGGTTCGCTGCATCCCATTGCGGGTTCGCTGCATCCCATTGCGAACTTTATGCTCCCCATTACAGGTGCGGTGCAGCACATAACGAATTTGATGCTCCCCATTACAAAATCGATGTAACATAGCCCATGCGTTAAATTTCGTTTGGTTTGACGCAGTTGATGTTTGGTCAGGAACGCCACCCACGCAGCCAGTGCTTGCTTTGCTTGCCAAATGTTGAGAAAACAAACGTCAACTGCCATGTTCTTGGAGCAGGAATTTTCATTGTTGTGCAAAAGTAAATACGGGTCGAAGTTTTGAATGTGTCGTGAATGTGTTGAAGTTTTGAATATGTTGTGAATGTGTTGAAGTTTTGATTATGTCGTGAATGTGTTGAAGTTTTGATCATGTCGTGAATACGTGCTAAAGTTTTGAACAGAGTTCACAAGGAATTTAAAAGCAAAGAAAACGCCAAGAAAATTCACCATATCGATATTGAAAACGTTTCGGAGTCCAGCTCCATCATCAGTTCGACTAAACTAAAAATGAATAAAATCACTTTAAAAGTCAAAATTCAAAGACAGACATAAAACCTAAACAAGACCTAACATTATATCGAAATAAACAGGACTAGTTATGAACAACTTAGTCCT